GCAACGGCGAGATAAAGGAACGCACGGGGGATGAATGGCAACGTGAATGAGAGCGGGCTGTGGGGAGCGGACCGATGGGGCAGGGGAGCCGGCGGGGCGGCGGGAGAGGCGCGAGAACGCAAACCGAGCGAACGAAATTACCGGCGATGGTCATTGAAGTCGAGCAGCGCGCGGAGAGCAGCGGGCATTGTCGATCTCGGTTTCGCAGATTGAACGGACCTCCGGGTTACTGACTCTCCCGCAAGTGTTCGATATAAGAGAACGGCGCGCGATCGGGTTACTGCGCGAGGTGGGAAAAGTTCTCGCACTGATTCTCCGCACCGCTTTTTCCACGCAATCGGTCTGATCTAATTGAGATAATAGCGACGTCGAAATAAAATCTTGACGATCACTGTATTTTTGTCACAATTTTCGTACAGTTGAAACTTTTTCGGATCAGATTCCGCAAACAATATCACAATAAAATAGCTGGATTTTATTTATTACATATAGAAGGTTTTTAAAATTGAGAATTTGTGCGGAAAGCGTTAGAACTTTGCGACCTTAAATATTTAAATATTTTTTTCTCAACGACAGATTTAAAACGAAACGAAGTCTCCGCTCGATCTCGTCGTCTCCGAGGAGAAACACTATCCTCGCGACAGGATACTCAGCGCAAGAAGAAATCGTCGATGGTAAGCGATACGCGCGAGTTTCCTGGGCGCGCGTATGCGTAAGACTTCTCCCGCGTTCCCGTTCGCGTACGTTATTCTTCGGTTTTATAAGCCGGCGTATCGGTACCGATATATATATATATCGATCGCGTATAGACAAGGCCCGATATCCCGACGGTATATCGAGACGACGCGGCAATATCGACTTACATTACACGACCGAGCGAGCCGATCTATCTCGGTGGGAACCGAAGCCCCACGGGCTCCTTGACTTCTCTCCTTAACGGCTGCGATCTCAGCCCGAGATCCTGAATCCCGTGCACGTCACGTCGATCGCCGGCGAAGGACGAGGTCGACGAGGTGGAACCGATGTTCGCCGAAGGCGCGTCGAACCCGCGACGTCGCGTATTGTTCTCTTTTCCTCGTTTCGAGCCGTTTCGAGGAAGAGTTTCATCCAATTGTGGGAAAACGCCACCGTTTGACTTTAATAAGGAAGAAAATGGAAACTAGATTCACGATAAATTTCCATACAGCGATGTCTCGAGTACAGTAATTCCAGATCGCTGCGTTGTGCAATTATCGATGCATCATGCGGTCAAATGTATTGTTCCATAACTTCAATCAGCCCCGACCGGCTAATTAGAATTCAGTAACTCGAGAACGAAACAGAGTCGATTTTCATGTAGCAAAACGTTGATGGAAAATCGGACGGTGCGCAACTTCTGTGCAACCGGCGTGTATCAAGGTCGACGGCAGTCACGATCGCGCCTGGGCCGGAGCTCTCTTTTCTCAGCCCGGAGAAGGAATCTCTGAGCGATCTTAAGTGTCGGTAGCGAGAAGATGAGGTCGATCGAATCGCCGGATAGCGGTAGCTACCACCGCGGGCGGGAAGGGACGGCGGGGTCGCGCGGCTCGGGAGAGGAGAGAGCGGGGGCGGCGGCTAGATGGGAGGGAAACCGAGAAACGACGAAATGACGGCGGTCGATGGACGGTTCGTTAAGTAGATGGCTGGTCGAGGGACTAAGCACCAAAACCACCTCACTGTGGTTTCACACCCGCGGAGCGAGAGAGAGAGAGAGAGAGAGGCGAAGGGTAGCAGTAAACAACTCGGAGTTCCAATGGTCAGGACTCGTGCATTCTTTCGGCCAGGATCGACGGCGACGATGCTGCGGGCTCTGCGATCCTTGACGAAGAAATCGCCTCCTGAGAATCGGTCACTCGGCGCGAGCATTGGCGTGACGACGACGGTCAGCTGCGCGATGAATGTCAAACCGACGACGACGACGGGCGAAATAGAAGAGCGTGACGTCTCGATCGTTAGATTATTAACTGAATAACGATCGCGAGACCGCTTCCGGTTCGTCTACCACTGTTCTTGTCACCAGGTGTTGCGCTCTTCGGGGCTTCGAGGTTAGATTTATTGCGCGATCGTGAAAAGATGGAGCGGGTGGAACGTCTATAAAATTAAACAATTAAATTAACTAATTTGCTTATAGTTTAATTTATAATACAGCGAGTAGATGCAATGTTTAATGATATTGCAATATATGAGACTTTTGCCTACTGTGATTGATGATACGCATCTATCGAGGCCACAAAGTCCAATTTCCGAGTAATAATTAGCAAATGCGATTACCATATTTCCGAGTCCAAATTCGGAAATTCCGTTTATTGAACCGGACCATTATCCATTATATCGTTATAACAGCGGTCTGCGAAACAACGACAAAAAGCGAGGGTGCAAAAAATCTATAAAAGACACGTTTAAATGTATTGTGTCTAAAATAGCGCTAATTGGAGCTTATTGTTCGAATTCGGAACTGTCCCTAAAAAATTCGAGACGCATGATCATCGTGCTAATAAAGCATTGCTAAGCGCAGAAGAAAGAGGAGAAGAAAAAAAAAGGAGGAGGAGAAGAAGACGAAGAAGAAGAAAAGGAGGACAAAAAGCGCTCCTTCGTCCTGAATGGAATCGAACGCCACTTTCCTTTTCTCGCTCATAGAGCGAGAACCGTTCGGGAGAAACGGACTATTATACAACAGATGGTCCTGCCGACACCGATCCGAGTAGAGTGGTGTGTCTGTGCCTTTGTTTTGTTACCGTTGTTCCGGTAATTGCGGCAAATACACGGCCATTTTCGGTAATCACCCCCGAACGCCTCCTGCACCCTGCCCGATCGTCCTGCCACGGCGGTCCCCTTTGAGAATTCCGAAACGACCTCGACCTTCCGCTCGGTAGGCGTAACGACAGTTTTACCAGCGGACCGATCGGTCCCGACCTCGACCTCACCTCGTGGCAGGCCAAGCTCGGCTGATCCGTAAGACATCCGAAACTGTATCGGTTGTACGTCACCTCGAACTTGCGAGTCCCTCGCGCATTTTTGTCCAAAAATAATATTAATCTGAAAACTTTTCACTTGGAAAGCGTCAATGATTTTCAGAAATATCCTAACAGCCGATAGTCTCACTGACATAAGCATTGAATAGCAGGAGCTTGTATGTAGAAGATAACAAATTCATGAGGATGGTGTTTTGCATTTGAATATCTTCCATGCAAGAGTAACAGGTATTTCCCGTTGCTCGCACGCGAAAGAGGTAATTCCAATGAGTTTCATGTTAATTTTCCCCGAAGCTGCAAACTGTTTAGCAACGGCGAGGTATAATTATCACTGCAGAACACGTGTTGAGATTGTATCGAAAGTCACGCAGAGCAACTTGTTTTGAAATCTCATTCAAATAGAGATCTCAGCAAAAAAAAAAACAATTAAGATAAATTAACCACTGCGCAAACTTGAAAATCTTGCAGAAATTCTCATCGTGTCTTTTTGTCTCTTCGAAAATTGAGAACTTAGAGTTTTAATTATGCTTCAATGATTGAAGTCGGTGAATTTCGAAACTTGACTACAGCGAAGGGATTCTCGGAACGAGGCGAATGGTGAACGCGCCCTTGAGAATCGAGTTTTGTCATCGGCCGGTCTAAGATTGCTCGGCGAGAATCATCAACGTCTTCGCGGGCTTTCCACTGATTCTTTCCGCTGATTCTTTCCGCTTTAGAAACGTTTGTATCGTCACGTTAACATGATGATGTAGGCGATCTCTAATTAATTGGATTTCAAGAAGAGTATTATTAGAAACTTTTAAGAACGAAGACAACATACAGAAAAGTATCAAAGATTTATACGAGGTATAAAATAAAATAACAATAAAACACAGAAAATTTTATATAATATTTAAATTAAATATTTGAGTTAATTCGAGATAATATAATAAAATCTAAAAAGAAATATTTTCAGAAGAATACATTTTGCAATTTGCAGATACATTTTGAGCGTTTTGCAATTGTACAATCTTTTTTTAAATAAAAATAAAGTTTACGCATGCATTTCAATGAAACGATATGCTTCATCGTTTACATATATGGGACGATGGCACCGAAAAATTTCTTCGAATCGCACATGATTCATCGCGATTATCTTTCATCTTTCTCTCTGTCTCTTTTCTTCTGTGAATGATTCTACACACACAGGATGTTTTAAATATTTCAGTACTTATAATGCAAATTCCAGTAGTAGATATAAGCGTCGGAAATAATATTACTAATACTTCCTACAAATAGAGTCGACACCGATGATACGAAGAATCATGATTTGAGTTACTTTCGTAGAAGCAATCTTTCTGAAAAGAGAAAATATGATATGAGATTACGTTTTTACGAAACTTGTCGCAAGAAAAAGACATCTGCCGTGACTGGAATATGCAAAGATATTATTATGCACAGATCCAACGTTGAAAGAATTATTTATGCATGAAGAAGATCCGAGAGAAAATATAATTTGAAGATCGCGAATCGTTCGACCGTACATCGGAATGCTATTCTTTTTTATCAGCAGTATTCTTGCGCAATCACTTTATTCAATCATCCTGATCTTGTTGCAAAGAACGACGCGACGCGACGCGATGCGACGAACACACGTTCACTTCCAGCCGAGCGTTTAAACTTCCGCCGCTGCTTCTACTCGTGACTCACGTCAATTAATTTGCCGGTGTTACTCATTCGAAACTCCGTTACCGACTCCGACCGTGCGATCTGCTGCGCATTTTAAGAAGCGGTGCACGATTGTAAACGTGAGTCCGATAGATTACATATGAAATTTTATTTAAATTAAGTATCCGGATATATACAAAAAAATTTTTTTTTTCTTACAAAATACTGTATTAGAGATTTGGACGTGTCGTTTAATCAAGATTTGATAAATGAAACGTAAAACTTTGTAAGATATTCGTCTGAATTTATCCGCACAAAAAACTTGAACAGCTCTGAAGGAAAAATAACTTTTCTCTGTTGCAGACACGGGCGTAGGTACCACGGAATGGACGTATCCCACGGCGCCGTCTTATCCGGCTCCTCCGGTCAGCAGCAGCGGTTCCTATTCCCCGTTGCCCGGCGGTGCGTTTTCGTACCCGGGAGAATCATTGTCGCATCATCCGACGACAGAACCGGTGCCATTGCCAACCGGTACGATCGCACGATTGAAAAAATTGCATTGATTTATTTCTCCGATCCGGCGCACGATTCGCCGGCGCGCTGCTAATTAAGAAACACCTACGACGATTTAATAATATTCTGACGCATGACGCGTTCCAGGAAAAAGTTGCACAATACACTCTCACAAAGTGTTTCATCTGTGTTTTATCTTAGAAATTATATTACTGTCGATCTTCCAGATATGGAGACGCGTTTTACATAATTATCCCGTTGATAATTAATGACGGAGTAAAAAAACCAATAAAGAAAAAGGCTATAAGAACTAAGCGCGGATAAGCAGAGCGTAAAAGATATTACAAATGATTTTATTAGATTAAAGAGGGATCAAAATTGGCCCGAAATGTTTCCGTGGTATTCTTGTGGCTTTTTTTCCCGTTATTCAATTACAATATCAAGCAACAAATTACAGTAATTAAAATCTTTCGAAGAAACGCAGCGAACGTTTTGATCAACAATGATTATTATTTATTCGATCTCTGTAGATTTTTTTTCTAGCGAGCAAATTTTAGAGATCTCGCAGTTACACGGTAAAATATGAATTTCTGCTTGCAGTGCTCTCCTCGGAGAATCAGCAGGACACTTACACGCCGAATTGCGTGTCCATGTACTCGGGACACGGCACCTCGCCGACGACATCCTTGCCCTTGGTGCCGACCAGAGCGAGCGATCCCGACATCTTCGCCAGCGGCGGCACGGGCAACGCGGGCAGTCCGAGTTACCATTACAGTTCGTGGACGCCTGGCCCGGCGACCCCGGTCCCGGTGGCTTCCCACAATTACAACCCCAATTATCAGGGTTACTACAACAATCCGGGCCAGAATTACATCACCCCGGCGCCGATGGTGCTCTATCCGCAGCTCTACAGCACCGTCAATCAGAATCAGATCCACCTGCATCTGCACGGCGACCTAAGCGAGGAGCAGGTCACCATAGCCGGCGGCAATCTGACTATCAGTAGCATCCGAGAGATCGGCGTGCTGGAGGAGAGCGAGCAGAGGAACGACGTGTGGAGACCGTACTAAAAGAGCAAAAGGTCTTTGATGGTATAATTTAAAATTATCGTGCGTGAGTTACAATGCGCGCGCCTCCAACAACGTAGTCTCTGATTATCATGCATCTGACGAAACGTCGACAAAGATAGCGGGATATGCGCTAAGTATCTTTTCAGAAGAAGGATATGTGTGAAATCATTGGACCTGATTACTGCTGTATGAGCGGCGGAATCTCTTCCGATCAGCCGCGCGCAAATTATCGTAACTGCAATAAACCGGCTGACACACGATGTCCGGTTTCGTAATAGTGATCGCGGGCGAAAGTGGAAATTACTGACTCGTTCACGTTGAATGTGAGACGAAGTGAAGACGAACTTCGATAAAAAAACTCGTCAGCTTGTGGAAAAAAAAATCAGCGAGCAGTGAGATCTCATAAATCGAAACGTGAGACTAATCGGTGATGATTCTTCTTAAGTGCTAGGCGGAGAGATATCTTTCTTGCTTGTTTCTCCCGGTCAAAAATTGGATCGTGAGAATATCATTTGGTTCTCGAATGAAGAAATAAGTCAAACGCTGTAACGTTGTAAATACACAAATATTTTCAGAAATGAAATAAAACCTTGCCCGACAGGTTCCTAAATCCCTTCTCTCGATACTTATGGAAAAAAGGTCAACGTAAGTAGCCAGATATATATTTCAAATTACTTCTCTCGAATCTAAAACGTGAATTAAATATGAATAAAATTTTGTAATCTTTTCTCGTGAATTTAAAATTGATTTCGGAGAGAGGTATGATGCATAAATAATTTCTCCTGACAGCCACTTGGAGTAGAAAAATCTTCGTTTGCATTATGGGGAGGGAAGTACAGCGACGCTGTTGTTTCTCTCATCGTGGGGGAACGGATAACCCTTTTTACGAGCGCAGCGAGCTCTATTTAATATTTAAAGGACGCTGGAAATGACGAACGGATGGATAGTTGCGGTCTGGCTGGTCGCGACATCGCCTGTTCGTCGTTCCCGCGTCCCTTTATTAGCGAGCCAACCCGCGTCGCTTCGTGTCAGCAAAATCTTTAAATCTCTCTCACCTAAATTAGCCCATGTTACATTTTGCGCAATGATTAATTTATTGCTTCGTGTGAAAATAATTGCCATTAAGGTTATTTAAATTATAATTTAAGACGCAATTAAAAATGTTTAATTGTCCTAAAGTGTGCGAATTAATTTCAAGACTTTATTTTTATTTAATTTTTATTCTGATTTTCTTTTAGTTCGTTGGCTCGCGCGCAGTGCACGAATCTTGAGTTAGAAATCTGTTAGGGACAATGGATTTCTACAAAGACGTACTGTCGCATCGTATTCGATAGGAAATAATAGAAGATAATGGAAGATTGTCTAAATATACATTAGAGTAAAATTACTACGTGGGTGAAAACTTAATAAGCGTCTCGGCGATTTTGCCGTTTGACAATATATGTACAACGACGAAGTAATTTTCATAAGTCATAACTAGAATCAAGAGGTATAATAAGGTAACTGGAAATACTAAACATCTTGCAATTATAAATAACTGTCTATCTCCTTTGTTTTTATCGAATAATCGTATTATTTGTTTCTAGAAATAACTGCTAAAGAAACACGAAGTACCCAACAAGTGGCCTAAAATAAAAAGAACATTATTAGTAATATTACATTCACAAAGAACTCATCACAAACATTCCACGACTCCTTCGTTCACGAAAAAAATCAGAATCACAAAAATGATGCGTAAATCAATGGTTAGTATTCTGTGAATTTTTCTTTTTCTCTTCGAAGTAGATGAAACGGGACAGAATACGCAGAGTTACGATTAGAGAATTGCCGGATAACGGAAAGCTGGACGAAAAATTTCTTCTACTTGAACGACTTTGCACTTCGGAGAGAGATCATCTCGCTCTTCTCCTACTTCTCTTGCCGCGATGTTTACAGCCCCGACGCGTCCTGCGAATGGGACGCCACGGAATAAAACCACGGAATAAGCAGAGGCGGCCGTCGCTCGTAAGCTTCTCTCTTTACGAGGATGACTCGACTCGCAGCCGACCGCAGACAAGAGTCTCCCGCCCTTTTCTGCGCCCGTTAAGACGAAATACGTTTCGTCCCGCAGGAAATGGTCGACATCTTCTGGTACCAGCCGAGCACGGCCGATGGGTATAAATCGCGCGACCCCGATCGAAGCAGTCCTTAAATCCAAAATAAAATATTGCTTGCAAACCTTACGCATCCGACTTTGAATAAACTCACCAAGTGAAAGTTAAAATTACGATCAGCGATAAAAAATTATATTTCAAAACAGAACGTGCGGTCGAAAATAGTACTCAGATATTAGAATTCATTTATTAACGTTCGTACATTTTGTCAGATACATCTCATTTCAGTTGCCATATATTATATGTATATCTCGTGGACGCGCTTTAGCTGAATTGATCCGTAACGATTTCTCGTCACTCTTCATTCACACATGTAGATGCATTTTAGGGGAAAAACAGGCGATACATAGGCACGTTTTATTATCAGTTAATAATCCTTCCATTTAAACCATCTGATTTACCAACAACATTTACAACGTTTATCGAATATACCGTACATATAGCGGAACATCAGGGATAATATTTGATAATATATACATCAACGTTCAATTATCATCTCTACGTCAGCTACGAAAACGAGGAATATAAATTAAAGTCGGCAAACAATCGACTACGGAGTGTAACGTAAGAATTATAACATTACTGTTACTTTAATTAGACTCGCGCGAACGATGTCGCGTTATGTACAATAAAACATGTGTACTAATCGCGAAGAATAATCCCAGTCCCGAACACTTCGTCGAGATCCTTCGCTCTATCTTCTCTCCTATGAAAAAAATAATTGCACGACAAAGAATCGCGATGATCTATCTTAGCGAAGGAAGCTGCGTAAAAAACGACGGTACGTCTCACTCCTGGATATCGTTTTGGCAAGTGAACGGGGAAGCGCGCCGATACAACCCTCGATTTGCAGCGAGATTCGCGCTCGCCGCAAGATACCTCCCATCCGCCCGCGACAACGCCCGCGTTCTCAAGCTTCACGCTGGAAGGAAAAATCCGGTACACCCGGCACTACGGACCGGACCGCAAACTACAGTTAAGCGCAAAAAGCATAAAATGAGAATCGAGAGATGTGCGTGCGAAGTGGATCGTAAATAAAATCCTTGTCTCCGACGTGTCGACACGCCGGCGTGCGTGGAGGGGGAAAAAAAATAGAGATTCGTGCACGAAAACGGGAACGTCGTATTTTTTTTTTTCGAACTTGGCGATTTATATGTCTCAATTCGATCAGTCGCGGACAAAATAGATCGATGGATCTTTCCCTCTTCCTCCCGTCTCATCCTCGGACTTTGCACGCCTATCACAGTAATTAATAAAGAAATTGGAAAATAAATTGTCGGACATATCAAATTGTTTCTTTCATCTTTTGAAGGAGCCTTACAACTACATAAGACCGCGATCGCTCGTGTCGCTCCGAGGTCGATCGCTATTAATTATTTGTCAATCCATAAAGCACGGCGATACGATGAAACAGAATCGAGAGACGCTGCTTCAGACTTTGATCCATGGCGTGCCTGGTCAGTATTCGCACACCGCCCACGAAAACCGGAAGCAGCGGTGCCAATCGCTCATCCTGTAAAAGAGTGCCCCAAAATTCGGTTATCAAACAATAAAATCGATAAGAACAATTTATAGCAAAAATTTAGAAGTTCAACGATCTTTATTTAAGAAACTTGGCCACGATTTTATAATTAATATATTTTATAATTATGGAAAAATTTAAGCAAAGAAAAATGCAGAAAACTTACTGGCAGAACTAAAGCCCATTCCAGCGTAGTGCCCAAAATATCCGCCCAGGCTTTCCTGTGAGCCTCGCTGTCCTTATTAACGTTGCTCCTCTGAAGTTCCACTTCCTGATCAGCGACTGACCGACTCTCGACTGCAGACGCCTCTTCCTCCTCCCGCAAAAAGGGATTTATTCTGAAACCGCGCTTGCTGCGTTCATAATCGCGCAGCAACTCGTCCATATTGTCAAGGATCTCCGAGGATTTGGAATTCTTTTTGTCCTCTTCTCGAATACCTCCTTCCAGCTCGCTCGGAAGATTGCTGGATCTCGTCCAGCCGGTTGTCCTGCGGAGCTCCATCACCGACTTCGGTCGGAGATCCGCGGAATCGAGCACCGAAGAGTCGCGGACGTCTTCAAGATCCGTCGCTAGAACGGACGTCGAGGACTTCCGCCTGGATAACGAATACGCGTCGCTGCCGCATCTTTCCGGATATGATTTCCGGTTTAAAAAGGCCTCGTCGGAGAACGCGTTACGATCCAGCGTTTCCATGTCTATGGATTTGCCGAAGAAGGTGCCAGTCGACTCCGCTTTCCGGAGTGAATTCAGATTGTAGCGCAGATCGTCGTGACTGTACATCATCTTGGGAGGCGCCGGGGTCACGGCGTCGTACTTGGCGTCGATGTAGCCCTCGCTGGAGGTTCCGCCGGAGCGATCGGGGTAAACGATCTTCTCCGTGACCGAGCCGAGTCTCGACTGCGGCCTCGAGTCGTCGGTTTCCGGCTCGGACTGCGGACCGGAATCAGTCGAGTATTCCGCGGCCAAGTCCGACAGCCTGAACGGCCTCGGATCGTTCTCGCTCTCGGCGCCGAGCTCCTCCAAGCCGCTCTCGTCGTCTAAATTCGGATTGTACACGTCGTCCGGATCATCCTGATCGTCCTCGTCGTCGCCCGACTGATCCCGCCGAATGCCACAACTTTCTTCGACGGACGCTAGAGTGCCGGTGACAAACCGGTCGATAGGCTCCTTTCTTGTGATTTCGGGAAAATCGTCCGGCTGCGCCACCAAGAGGAATATCTTCCTCTCCGCAAAACTGTCCGCTTTTGTATACCTGCCATCTTCATCGAGAACCACTTCGACGTAGGTCTCGCAGAGCTCGTCGAAGGTTGTACGAAGCTGTCGGAGATACTTGGTGAGCTTGCGGTGCTTCACGTCGTAAACGCACTCCCTGTCGTCAAGCCCGGTGCCGAGAATACTCTTCACCAAATCCAGAGTCGCGTGGAGCTCCTCTATCTCGCGCAAGGACAGCTCCAGCAGCGTGATGATCTTGATGGTCCAAGCAGCGGCCGCTTGACGGTACAGATTCGCCGGCTGCTCGAGATTCGCAACTTTCTGCACCAGGAATTTCAGACCGGGTCGACAGTCGAACTTCAATGTGGCGACATAGGAAAGGTCCAAAGCAGAGAGAAAGATCTCCACGTGATGCGGACTCAGGTGCGACAGGTAGCCACGTTTGATGTCGGGATTAGGCGAGCTGCACGGCGTCGAGTGCGGGATCACGTGAGACAAACTGCGGAAAAGCGTTTCCTTCGAGCACCCTTCGTTGCGCAATTTTACGATTCTCTACATTCTTTTCATCCAATTTTGATCAAAGTCTTTCATGCAGATTGAACACAATTAAACTCCACGTTTAATTAATACATTCGAACAAGTGCATAATAATTATAATGTGCTAATAATTTCTTATTCGTTACACAGAGTGATATATGCAAGAAACGGTCGCGTACAAACCTTGAAATCGAGGCGCCGGCGCCCTGAAGAAGAACACTCGCGATGCAGTGAAGCAGCATCTGGTGTACCAAAAGCCCGACCACCAGCGCACGCAGCTGAACTCGAACGATGTAGAGATCGGGATTGAGAGTGGTGCCTACAGCAGGTGGATACAAAAGGAACACGTACGACCTTTCATCGGGCGACCGCGAGGCATCCTCGAGGCATATCTGTTCCTCCAAGAGGAACACCTGGGGATACAAGCGTGAGTTATCAAGTCCACACTATCTTTCAACTCCGTTTCGCATGTATGATATGACGTAGTCTCCAAAATTTTCATGAATTCCATGAGAATTTTTTATATTTTTGGCAATTGTACAGAAGCGATGATCAACTTTTCGTAAATGTTCCGATTGCAAGTAAGATTATATCAGTCATTATCAGTTCTAACAACACGCTAGAAATGAAAGAAATTAAAGAATGTTTTGAGTAAATTAGAAAAACACATTGTGACTCGCAGCGATCGTTAACTGATCGTGAGGATAATCTTAATTACAATAATAGTAACGGTATGATCACTCTCGATCAACATGATTCTGCAACTTTTCCCGGTCGCGAGATAATGTGTGCACACTACGAAAGCTGCAGCTTCTATAATACAGTGTCGTGTACCGTTACGTACACGTTTTTGTGACAGTGAAATTCTAGCCATGGACTCAAGCCATGGATTTTAATGGTGATTCGCAAGACCGTGCCAAGTAAAATTGAGATGATACTTCAATCAGCGACGAGGTCCTTTTCCATAGATTCGAAAAAGTAAGACATGTATTGTAAATTACAAATTTTATCGCATCAGTTTTTTTTATTACCAGAATATTTTATTTTTCAGAAACTTATTAAAAATTATTTTTGAAGCTAATAGATATTCAATTTTTTTCGGGATAATTAAAGATTTGACGCGTAAAAAAAGCGGTCGAGATTATAGCATTGAAATTGATTATTTTTCCGCAAAGATTCTGCAATTTAGAATAATTTATGTAAAACAATATTAATATTTACGACTTTAATTGTTGAAAAGAATCTCGTCAAGCGCTTAACCCGTGCCGTCTATTAGCATGTGCAAATGTTTTAAAAAAAAAGAAAACAAAAGAGCATGATGATCCGAATCGAATGGCGTTTCCTCGTCGACAGGCGTAGTCTAATATCACGACAGATCTCGTTCAAGGTGGAGGGTGGCAAGTGAACAGTCAACCAGCTGATGATATAGAAGCTCTATATTTGTCGAAACACAATCATTCAGCGGTACAAAAATACATAGAAGAATCATTTCGACTCTGTCACGTCGCCAAATATCAGCCACATCGAACAAGCTTCGGAAGTACATCGAAAGCGAACGGTCGATTATGCTTACGCCAATGTAACATATTCAGCGTACATACAAGGTACGTGTGCTCGGTGTGTATATAAATATAAAGGCGAGTTATTGCTCCGTATTGTACGAAAATATTCTCTAGGCTGAGAACGGCACGCGAGTTTGGAAGCGAGCACCGAGAATCTTTCGGCCTGTCGACGACGACAATGATGGCACGCGCCTCTCCGTGAATCACTTTGTGGATCATCGGACACTTGCGCTTATCCACGTCGTTTCGCTTTTACGCCGGCCGGATAAAATGGTGAATCTCAATGCGATACGGTAAGGCTCTTTTTTTTTGTTTTCTCTCGGTTTTGATTGTTCTTAAAATCCATGACGTGAGTTACCGTGGTCGGCTAGAGCCATTGGGGGCCTGTGTTCGTCGTAGTGTTAGTGTAATCGGGGGGTGTCGTGTGCTGCCTACAACCGACGGGGTAGGAGGTAGTGTGCTGGTCGATCAGTGTCGTCTCAATGGTCATCAAATCCTGGAAAGGCGTCGTCGGCAGTGACGCCGCGCTCTGCCTCTTGACGGCAGTCAATACCTCACGCAGCTGGCTCACCTGAGAGCAAGTCAGGTCAGGAAGGCACCACGTGTGTCCCTGCATCTTTCTCTCTCTCTCTCTCTCTCTCATTTTTTCACTCGTGCATATACCAGACACTCTCACTTTATATCACGATAAACGCGCAAAAGTCTGACATGGAGATGTTTAAGAAAACTTGTTTTTTTTTTTTTATCAAAGAGATGGTAACGATCGATAAAAAAATATCAAACTCGCGTGACGATTTTTTTAATGTGAAAAAAAAATATATTTGCATATCCTCGTATATCCTCATACTTGACGCTAATTTGTGACCGTCCAATTTTTATTTATTTCGGATCATATGAAATGTATCTTGGACCGAAAGTAATCGCATTCAGCGCTTGACATGGGATACGATTCAGAAATAATTACAGTATATCGTGATGCGTGAACGATAAATGTGGAAATAAAATTTCTCGAGTCAAGACAGAATCCGATACACTCCGAACGTTTTCCGTCAATCGAGATCTCGTGGCCACGAGGAGCACATCGATAAAGCACATCGAGACATACAACGGCCAGAAACAACGGGGGAGAATGTCGGTTCTCCTCCGCTCGCCACTTCTCGAAAGTGAATCTCAGATTACTTACCTGGGCGGCGAGCTGTCGCAGCCGTTCCGTCTCTTCCGGTGTCGCGTCTCGGCGCGCCGCGACCTTCACTTGAGCGACGTCCCCGTAAAAGGATTCCGATCTGGGCGAGAAAGCCATGGTCAACTGGTGCAGCTCCTGCAGCGAGTTCGAACAGGCGCGGTAGCACGCGACACCGCAGACCTCCCATTGTTCCGGGGTGAGCAGTGGCCCGCTGCTCACCAGGATATGCCTGTCAAACACGGATTTATCTTTTTTCTAGCTTGGCATTAAAATAAATATTAAACTTTCTACATTTTCCACGGCAATTATAGGACGATCCAGCATCGTCCATCATCTTGCTGTCGATCTGTAATAAATCTCGCAAAAGCACGAGAAGCGATGTGGCGAATAATAATTTCTCGTGCTACCGTGTCGATAAAATCGCTCTTTCAAATCACCCAATATGCTGCGAAACTAGGCTTGTCTAGTTAAGGGGATCCTTAAGGGGGAACTTAACTTTTTTTTGGCTGTGTAGAATGAAAAGTAGAACGAAAAATAGAAGGTAAAACAGAGACGTATCTGTTTTACCTTCTATTTATCGTAAAATTCGTTTTTTTTTGGCTGCGTGGCTTGAAAAATCCTTTTAAATCGACCATCCGTAATGTATTAGCATATGTACTTTACTTACAGAAAAGGACTTTTCATTCTACACAGCCAAAAAAGTTAAGTGTATTTGAAAAAATAGGTAAAACAGACCACTTTAGGATCCCCTTAACGAATGTCTGTAGGATTTCAAATCAGGATACCGTTCGGCTCCTCAATCGCGAACCTGCTCCGTTTTTTAAGTCCGACGTACACAACATGTGTACATCGATACCTCGCGATCGACACCGATTCGCGGGATCGTGTTACCGGGCTCAACCTGGTTGAATATATACTGTGCGTATGTTAATACGGAGAAAACGCGCCGACGACTCTCGAGGTAGGTGGAGATGCAGCGGGGAGGAGCGTGTGCAGCGCGTTAGCATGACGCCCCGAGGGTGTCGAGTGTCGGTGGCTACTTTATCCCACCGGACAGCCTGTCAAGCTTCGTTATCGTCTTACACGCACGTTCCGCGCCACCGTAACGACGATACACCTAACTTAACGCTCGCCGCGAGACGTTCGCATTCCGTCGAACCTCGGCGAACGCCCCGAAACTGGAAATCAATACAACAGAAGCGAGACACCGTAAATGCAATATCGTTACTGCGTACGCACGGGAGTTGCGTAAGAGACGCAGTTACGCCTCATCTTCCGTCGCTTTACGATCCAACTTTCCTAATTGTATTACGAAATCGCCGGCGACAATACGTCATTTCAATCGGCCGTTAAAGAACCATCGTGTTTTGCAACGTCATCGCGTTTGCATTCCAGTTATTTTTTTTATTGCAATTCCGCTCAGACGTTATTACCATCGGCCGTCAATTCTCTCGTCGCGCGCTAAACCGCGTAAATATTAACGGAGGTCGTGTATCGCAATAAAAATCGAACAGGCGGAAATTGCTTCGGCTCGCTCCGGACGGCTTTTATGCCGCGAACGCGAAGAGCTTTGACTTACCTGATACAGGCGCAGCCGAGACGAGCTATACTCTCTGTAGGCTGCACCACGCATTCCGCCATTACTAGTAACAGCTGTTTCAACATCAGCGTCGTGGCCGGCAAATGGGCATCGTTTCTGACGACCTCCGGGCCTAGAGAATAATTTCAGAAATTAACGATTGCGCTTTCGGCGGTCTTCATTTTTCGCATAAATGTTTACGCGTGCTACCTTGCAGGTGTGTCAAATAATCAACGACGAGATCCGTCGTGAGGCCGCAGCATTGCTTAAAGTTGGGCGCGAAGTTGTCCCAGCCGCGGAAGATCTTGGAAGTCTTCCTCAGCCAATTCTGCACCATAGGCAGCAGCAGATGATTGACGCAGTAGAGTCCGAAGGCCGGCCCGGGTACGTTGAGGATGTCGCGCAGGAGGTGGAACAGCGTCTCCAGGGTGTGCGGTTGATAGCGCCGCGGGCAGATCATCGTCGCGCTCGCCAGACCCTCGATGAGGATGTACCAGACCCGGAGGATGCCGCTAGGCTTGTCCATGCTCTGCAGCGTGGCGATGGAGTGAGCGTCCTTGTCGATCAACGGCGCCAGCACGTCGTACGACCTCTCCGGGATGACCTCCTGCATCGTCTCGATGTGCTTGTCGAATCTGGTCAGCTCGAGATTCGGAATGATCGGATCGACGTATTGCGGAATCGTGGACACTTGAATCCGCTGAGCGGAATGGAAGATCGGGCACGCCGGCATTCGGTACATCGACGACAGGATGTCGCTGCAGCTCAGCAGATACTTCAAGCTCTCTACGCAGAGTCGCATTCTCCTGGACTCCGCGGTGTCGAGGTTCTCCGTCTCCTCGGACTGAGTCTCGTTGTCGCCGATGCCCCTCACGTGTTTCAGCAGGCACAGAATGCAGTCCAGTGCGGCGTTAGCAAAGACCAATGTATTGTCGGTCGAAAGGAAGACCCTGAAGACTTCTAACAAGGGCGCCGACTCCACGCAGTCGGCATTGCCGACCGACGCCACTCGGAGTGCGCCGAAGAGCGGACGCCAGCCCGAACGGATCTCAGTGCGATTTGTCTCGACGAACTCGCAGATACAGCTGACAATCTGAAAAAAAAAATAAAAATAATTTACAAGCTAAATTGTGATGTGTGCGACCGTGCTTCGCCCAAGCGGCTATTTACTTGATCCTGAACGTCGTTGTCGCAGAGTTCGAGGCACAAAAGATTTTCGAAAGGCTTGAAGAGCGCCTCGTTGAAGTGAAAATGTGGAAGCTCTATTTGCTCGTTCAATAAGGCCGCCATGGAGTCGTGAATGCATTGAACGGCTTTCTTCGAGATACTGCGATCCTCGTGGCACGCCGCTTCCATAAAGTGTGGCCCCAAAATGCTCCATACCTGAAAAATTGTATACTTTTTATAAGAATTATCGTTGTAAATTGTTAAACTGCACTTCTAGAAACTTCCTTACCCCCATTATATGAATCAAAGGCCTGCCACTCTTGACACATTTCAGCATAACTTCGCCCAAGCGAGCTAGCAGCAACACATTCATCTCGTTCTCTCTCGGTTTACTTCGCCTCCACCAAAATCTCTTATTGTCTTTGCACCCATCGGTGGTCTTAAACAATTGCGCCTTGCTGGCTTTGCAGAGCGCCGTGAGAAACGAGCAGAGCGCTCTGAGATTCAACTTAAGAGCCGCGTCTTCGAAGAGTCTGTCGACTTGCTGGGACAGCACGCAAATTATTTTGGCGGCGTAGTCCGCCGGTAGAATGCCGTTGAATTGACTGTCGGCGTTTGATTCCTGAATAATCTCTGGGATCGTGTCCGAGCTGGGATTCTGCGTGTAAGGACTCGAAAGGAAACTGTAAACGTCCACGCTAGAAGAAATAATCAAAAATTAGAAAAAATAATATACGAGAATTTTAGCACTTTATAAATTACATTAAGTTTTATCTAAATTGACGAAATAATTGAAAATTAATTATTTCACAAGTTTAGAAGATAATTAAAAAGTGAGGAAAATTTACCAGGATTCCTCGTCATCGACAATGTTGAAATTCAGTCGAAGCCTGTCTTGATTTTTGGCGTCGCCGTTTACAGCGTCTTTCTTTTCCTTTTTCTGATGGGCTTTGGGCAGTGACGGATTTTGATTCTTTCCAAAGAAGTCGTGCTCCAGCTTGCTCACGTACAGGCAGCATCTTTTCAAACGCATAATTTTCTTGTTACATTCAACATAAAAACGTGTTGCAGCGTGCCTGTGAATTTCACTTACGTAAAAACGTGCGGCCAGCAATCGCTGCCATGGCTACCGAGTTCCAAGCCTCTTCCCAAAAGCACATCCATGCTGAGCGCGTGAGAAGTGTGTATATTGGTCGCTCTATTTTGCAGTTTAAGTCGAAGAACGTCCTTCTTGCGAGTCATTCTCGAAATCGATTGCTCCGTGCAGGCAGCCTTCGCGAGCAAGGCGAAAATGGAGCCGCAGCGAATTTGTAAACCTAAAGTAAAAGGAAATGTAGCAAAAATCTGAACAAAAATCTCGCAAAAGGGAAGGAAATATGCGTACCGAGTATGTTGCTCAACGTGGCAGCCTTGTGAAGGCCTTCAAGCGCTAAGACGACTGTGTCTCTGACGCCTCTCCTGCCGCCGTCTCGGTTCAGGATGCCTTTATTGGTTTCCTCCTTCGGCGGATTCAGCCCCGTCGTGAGAACCGTCATCATGCTGCCCCAGCAACAAGTCAGCACTCTCCGGGAAAGTTTCGCGCCGGCCTCCGCTTCCGGAGTCGGCTCGCTCCGCGAAAGCTGAGCTCGCTCCAATCTTATGTAATCGGAAAGCAATTGCCCGCCTCTATGGCTGCCGGGTATTCCGTCCACGTCTGTAAAAATCGTAGAATGAAATCTCATTGATTTGACAAGCGGTATTTGAAAATTCTACGAAAAAATTAACTTCATATCGATATTTTGTATCGCTAAAATATTAATTCGATATCGCATACCCGTGAGAACGTTGACCAAAGCGTTGTTCTCCGTAGAACTAGGATTGTAGCCACATTTCTCGAGTAAATTGCACGCTAGTACCTGCTGATACAATTCGGAGAGCCACGTGGCCGAGAGATAAACCAACACGCCCGATCCATGGACTTCTTCCACAAATTGTTCCTTGAAAGCAAAATTCGGAGATTAAATGTACTTCTTGACAACGATAAATTCAAGAAAAGTTAGACATACCTCGCTGACCGGCACTTGCCGACCTTCCTCATGATAGTAATTGATACGAATTAATTTCAGATTGAGAAGCAACGCCGCATACGTCGCGAGATAAATTCCATCGGCATTCATGATCGTGATTAACGCACACGAATCCGTATTGACGTCAGTTTGTTCCTGCATTTTCTGCTGAGTTGCGAAAACTCCTAAAACGTCAGGTGAGACACAAAATTAATATTAATTTATTTTTTCATTAACCAAATATCGTTATTATCGCATTATTAGTATGAATTTCAAATATTATTTGGAAAGCTAACGTTTGTACCTTGACAGTATTCGGAAGCAAAGTTCTGCAGCGCCTCGTCCACCTCTATGTTGCTCCTCAAAGTGAGCACCATCGGTATGAGATCAGATCTAAGCGTCTTTACGAAGCGTCTGGCGTTATGCCTCTCCACATCTACATTGCACTCGTCGGCCACTTGTCGGCCGACGTGAAGACACTTTGGTAATTTCTTCAATCTGAGCCTCTCACATTCGTTCTCTGTCGTGCACTCGGTGTCGTCGAGGCTGGTGTCCTCCTGAACATCGTCCGACTCATTCTGAGGCCCCTCGGTGTCCGTGGAATCTCCATCTTCCGACGGTCCATGCCCGGATGAGTCGGAATCCGATCCCATACCCTTCTTCATCAGCTCCAATTGTTCTCTGAGACACAAATTATTGTAATTGCATTTTCAGAACCACTCAACCGAGCTACTTTATTCTGGATGACTCGCTTTTATCTTCAATGCTTACCTATACGTTTTTGGCAGCCGCGCCATGCTCTGATAGGTCAGAGGTCCGCGATAGTCGCAGGATTCCAAGTCCTCGTACAAACTATTGATCGTGCACGTGTAATTGTGATTAATTGCTTTGCCCTCGCAAAGTTCTTGAAGGGCCGACAGCATGGCGACCACGCAGGAGACACTCGCGTGCAATATGGCTAGTCCGCCCGCTGTCGATTCCTCGATCGAGTCCATCGCTCTGAAATGAAAAATACGGCGTATGAAAGTTTCAAGGAACGCGCAATTATTTGAAACTAAATTTAAGCCTTCAAATATTTATGCTGCACGAAACACTCACAGCCTCATCAACGCCATATCGCTCTGTATATGACTCGATCGATCTTCCTCCACCAGCAGTGGTCCAGCGAAATCGACCATGCGACTAGGACTGCGCAGTAGCTCCTTCAACGCCTTCAAGGGTTCCAGCCGTTGCTGCGGCGGTGGATACAACAGCATTCTGTGGAACACCGACTCCAAGACCGGTCGTAACGGGCCAACACATCCTACTAATCTCACTAATTCCGTGCCGATACTGAAAACATTATTATACAAAAATGTCAAATATCGTTTTCCAATGTTACAAAACTTGTATTTACAAATCTATCAAACTTACAGCGATACAAAATCTTGAGTTAGATTTTTACCTATAAACAGTCTTCGCCTGATGACTGTCGAAGCTCAACGACGTGGCCAAGTATCCGGAACCTCTGCCAACCTCGTTCTCCTTTCCCTCGCGGGAGGTAAAGGTCTTATCCACTCGGGGCGTCCCCAGAAAGGCTATCAATGCGGGACAAAACTTCTGCCACAGGAAGGTCGTAAAGTGCGCATTGGTGTGAATCTTCTGCGGTAGTGACGATATGAGCGTGTGCAGGCATTCCAGCAGGAAGACCACGGTGTTGCCGTTTCTGCCGTTGCTGGAAGAGGATTTCCCAAATGTTATTACGGTATGAAATACGAAATTTCATACCGTAATTACATTACTGATATCCCAAAGGTGTATCTTTACTTTTGAGCCTCGTCCAGCTTGCTGCAGATGTATTGCAGTATTGGCAGAGCTTCGTTGAAGCACGAGACACCTCGCTCGCGGACGTTTTTGTTCCGCTTGGCGTTCTCGTCCATCTCCTGGCACTCCTCGTCTGTAAAGAAGCATAATGACGAATAAGGATCAGGATACCAAATCGACGATGCATTCGTAAGTATAAGCCGGTCGTTAAGGCGCCTCGCCGATGGCATTCGTCGACTTGCATTCCAGCGACACGCGATCTTGTAATTTATCGACCAAACATTCCGACATCTCGCGTTACGCTATCAACGCCGTGCAAGGTGATATATATATATATCAACTGCATTACGCTGAATTCTTTTTTTTTTGCTTGGATCTTACCTAAAAAGAGACAAAACGATCGCAACGTTTGGCTGGTCGCCGCTTGTGCCGCCGTACGCACAGCTTGATTCCCATTTTCGAAAGCCTCGCAACAAGTAGTCAATATAGCGATGATCAGACGTCCGTTCATGGTCCAATAAGGAGAGCAAGCGACTTGCAATAAAACCTGAAAAAGAAAAAAGTAGAATATCACTCTGATATTTTTAAAGCAAATACTGAAATCGAAAAATACTTTTTTTTATGTATTTGTATTCTTATAAATTTCTTATACTTTTAGTACTCGCTCCTGGTTTTTTACTCACTTTCAACATATCCGTCTGCGTGTCATCGGACTGCGAGACGATGGAGCTCATGGCGTGCAACATTTGTGCGGGCAACCATAAGGAATCGTCTTCTGGCTCGTAGGGCGATTGGAATCGGTCATCTCTCAACATTTTCTACGAATTTTAAAGGTATGATTTGGGATCATTAATTTCATTATCGTGATATATATTTATATATTGCAGTTAATAAAAAAACACAATTATAAATCTGGTCAAACTATAATATAAATAATAATATTAATTTTTGTAATTTTTTATTTATTTATATGAAATATTTAAACTTTATTACGAAAGCTACAAAAATCGTGAAAAAATCTTTTTATACTTAAATCAAAGTTCATTAAAAATCGTCCGCCATAATGACGCAAATTTGCCTAAACTGTCCCGCAGACTAGCGCAGCTGTTCGCCGGTATCTCTCGTTTTATCGCACACAGTTCCGGAACATACGTTTCCACAAGCGGTCACACCAACGCTGACTAACACGCGTAAGCAAAACGATAAAACCAGCGCCCTTTCGTCTAAGCGTTTCACATCGAGCATTGGAGCGTTTTTGCACGTAAAAAAATTATTTTTTACATCGTAAAAATTTTTCTGCAGAGAAAAACTTTTTATATTACTCACATGTAATCCCGCAAGTCCAAAGGCGACAAACTTGCTCCTGTTGCTTTCTAATGCTAGCTGAAACGTATGTAAGCATTTCGCGCGCAATTCGTGAGGTGGATCTCGCAGCAAGCCTTGCTGCTTCTCCAGGAAATCTGCAGAGAAGAGAAATCACCCTCTTAGCATAAAATATGAAATTCGAATATCTCCGGAAAAAAAAAACGCTTTAATGTCGATGACTAACATATTGTAACGACGCTGTAACATCACTGCGCGTTTTCTAATTCTAAACGTCGGCTCGAAAAACATAATTTTGCGTACCGAAATCTTTAGATATAATCGGATTGAATAAGACGCATTTATAATCTACATATGCAATTAAATTCGTTGCATCGTCTTGCAAGCGTACTCGACATCTGCAGAATAAAGACGCTGCGAGCAGGAAAGACGCGTGTCGCGCGCAAGAAATATTTAATATAAAATCGGACAAAGGGCAGAAGAGTAATGCGCTCACCGTACGCTTCTTGCGCCGATTTCCGCAGATTTTGTAGCTTCGCATTGTTCGACTCCCTGATGATCTGCAGCAGGAGATCCTCCATGACACGACGGGCTACCACCGCTACCACGCGACTGATCGATAACGGGAGTGCCGATGCACGCTTCGCTATTACGCGCATTTCCAGGAACGTAAAACGCGTCGCCCTTCGGAAAAACCAGTGCGTTTATTAAAAACGATCAAACGGAAGAAATTTATATATTAATGAAGCGCCTAAAATCAAAGGAAAAAGAAAATACATAGCGCTAATTTTAATTTTACTTGAACAAGCTTTAAAGTAGACTTTATTTATAAAATCAATTATTTCTACATAGCAACTTGTTTACACATTAAAATAGTATTAACGCAAACAATATAGAAAATTGTATGTTCAAATTTTTCACACTCTTGCGAAAGAGACAAGGCTCTGAACAAGCTCAAAATATTGCGCCTGCCTTTAGACCATATGACGAACCAGTCACGTGACCAACTGTGTGAAAGAATCAGCTGCATGTCAGAGATGGCGACGAGGAGTGACAGAAAGCGTAAGGCGGTTGAGAAACCGGCACACGAGAGCACCACATTTTATCATTGGGCTGTAATTCTTTTGGGTAATAATATTCGTTTTTCGTACATAAAGTGGTCGAGCTTCCGATGCGATTCGCGAATGGAAGGCTCGACGGTTCTTTTAACAGAAATAACCTCTGCTTTGTTGACAGGTATCGGTTTCGGTTATTTACATCGGTGGCATGTATCCACGCTCTTCGAAAATGACCGGCACTTCTCTCATCTCTCGGAAATCGAGCGAGAAATGTCCTTCAGGACCGAGATGGTACGATAATAGGTGATGATGTTTATATGCAATCACAGCGTACGACTGTGGTTAAAGTATTCTGACATGTGCATTTTTCTTTGTTTAGGGAATGTATTATTCGTATTACAAAACTATTGCTGAATCGAAAGACTTTTTCGACGGCATGGATAAGCTCAGTTACGACAATCTGTCGGAGTATGGCAATATTATCGATGCTACCAGAAAGTACAGTCTTTTACCTGAGGTAACTATATGCTCTTTTTCAACAATCCCGATCTAAACATAACGAGAGGCTTTATTTTGTAGATTGTAACGGGTTTCCTGTATCATGTTGCAAGAAATCTTGGATTGATATCGCAGGAAGAACAGTGCTGGCAGGTAAGATTTACAGAATTCCTTTGTGAAGCGAATCACATTTGAGTAATCACAAACTAATCACTTTTAGATAGAAAGAGGAGACGGTTTACCACCTGTGACTAGCTGTGAAGGTTTGGGTGTACCTGTGTACTTCTATTTAGAGATGGTTTGGTCTTCCACAATTTTTACAGCTATAATACTCTTTTACTATGCAACGTATTTGAGTAATTCCATTTACGGTGGTGTTCTAACAATATTATTCTTCTTATTTAATCATAATGAATGCACACGTGTTCAATGGACACCACCGTTGCGAGAAAGCTTTGCGTACCCTATGCTACTGTTTCAAATGTACAGTGTTACTATGGCTATAAGAAAATGCACGAAGCATGATTCGGAGAAAGAGCCTGTTCTGTTAAAAAACAAGACTAAACAGAGATTATTTATGGTAAGGTATAAAAGAATCATTTCTTATATTATTGTTCGCGAAACTGCTTTTGCTTACAATCAATTGTTTTGTATTTTCAGAATATATTTGGCTCAACGATCTGCAGTCTGTGTACCTGGCAGTTTTCACATTTTGTTTTCACCACGCAAGTTGTAGCAATTCTTATACTGAAGTGGCTGAAAATTATTCCATACGATTTCTACAAAAATTTCTGTATGGTTCACATATTAGCTGTGATGGCGACGACAAAACTAACAAACAGCACTCTTATAATTTGTTCATTCTACACGTGCCTCATGTTCAGCAGCAACGTGGTCAGTTTCATAATCAAATTATTGCAATTTCACAACCTCAAACGAGAAATTATTCTCGAAATCGCCATAACAATCATTTTCACAAAGTGGATAAAGTCCTATATTTTATATTCTGAAGACGATGCCCACGTATTTAATATATTGAAGTCTAAATTGACAGACTACAGGGATTTTCACACTATGCTTTATACGTGCTCGGCGGAATTCGGCTTTCTGCAATACAAAACTTATGAAGCAATCATTAAGACTTTATTGCTGCCAACGGCAATACTTGCTGGAATGCTCGCGTTGTATTACTGGTATAGAAATTTTAAGATGAACGATTATCCGCTTTGCATAGAACCCGACGTGGCGTATAATGGTTTGCAAACCGGCGCTTTCATCATCATGGCCGTTTTTATTATGAGACTAAAGTTATTCATGACGCCGCATCTCTGCATAATAGCTAGCATCGTGTGTAGCAAACGATATCTCGAAAAAATTGGCTTGAAAAGTGAACTCATGCGGCTTGCCGTTGTGATTCTTGTACTGGGTGGCATGTCGTACCATGGCGTCGACAGATTCCAAGAGGAACGCAGTTTTATAGGTAATTATATTTTTAAATTAAAATAAATTGACTATATTTCTACGATATCTATCATGTATGTATTTCTATAATAGGCGAATACAGTAACATCGAGCAAGAAGAGCTGTTTGAATGGATAAAAAGTAATACACCGAAAAATGCTGTATTTGCGGGGAAGATGGCGTTAATGGCAAACCTAATGTTGTCGACGAGGAGGCCGATTGTTAATAATCCTTACTATGAAAGCAAAGAGATGAGGTATGGTTCAGATTTTACGTCAAAATTATATATAATACTGATTAGAATAATATTGGTTTACATTTTATGATTATTGTAGGGATAGAACTATGAAGGTTTATGAGGTTTACAGTCGAAAGGATGCTTCCTCCGTATATGCCTCCTTGAGAAACATGAAAGTTAGTTACATCGTGTTAGAGGAACCACTGTGCCTTGGATTTGCAAACTTGTAAGTGTGAGGAAAACACGAGTACAACACGGTTGCATAACGTGGAATTTTATTTTTACAGGCCACGAGGATGTCAAATGATTGATTTGTGGGACATGGTCGACAATGGAACAGCGAAAGCCACGAACAAGCCGCCTCTGTGTCCTCTGCTATTCAGAGGAAATGCGTATCCGTTCAGACGAGCGTTCGTTAACAGCAACTATGTCGTGTTGCAACTGGATTATTCTCATTACGTAGAGTTTAAGCCAAAGACTTCCACACCATTGCATTATCAGTTCTAGAGTACATTTCCAAGTAAGAGGAGGACCCTCGAACAATACGGAATACCTCGTGAGACTGTAAGAGCCTATTTTTCTTAAAATCGAAAAAGTATTATCTATATATTTGAAAAAAAAAATATATTTTTAATATATTGAGAGATTCGCACAGACAAGTTAAATGTTAAAACCGCGAATTCTCGAAAATCTATCCAGTTTAGACTCATGTGTCATCTGTGAAGGGGCATTAACATATTTTAAGATGCGCACAATGTTCCTAATATTTTGCAATAGAAATTATTTACTGTTTCATTCGAAAAGAATCTTCGACATTTTCGTTTTGCTATACTTGTTTCTTAAAGTGCAGCTCATATACATTGCAAGTGTAAACAGAATGCAATGCAAGATATATACGAATATAATTTGCAAACTTCCGTAATGAAAAACGATAGGCAATTGTTAGTCGACCAGTAACAATGCACAAAAAGAAATAATGCCTCATTTCACAATGTGATATACACACTTGTGATAATTTTACTTAATATTTTTACGCATCGAAATGCCCAGTTTTTGGTGACGCAAATAATTTTGAACGTATAAGCGTTACATTTAATCGAGCATTGTGTTCACTCACCCTATCGCAAACACAAGACATGTGTGCCAACATCAATCATCACCTATTTATATTTATATAACTATCGCAAGTCAATTCCTTCGCTTTAAATGAATTTCTCATTACTTTTCCATTGATGAGCATTTCACAGCACGCATATTGGACAATAATTCTCTACTCTTTGACGTCGATCAAATGTGCTCATTAAGACATTACACATTATTTAATCGCACTGTGACCATAAATGTTATGTATTATAAATTTAATGAAAAGATATAAATAAGAGATTATATATAAATTGCGAGAGAGAATTTTTTACAATATAATTTTATTAAAACTTACCAAAATATATTTTTTTAATACTGTGCCAGCTAATCTGCAACAGCATTTCTGCTGATTTCAGATCGAATAACTTGTGCAAAAGTACGTAAAGCCGGGAATTTATTTTTTCTGCTGCCTGAAACGCAAAAAAGTAATACGCGAAGTTTTATCATAAACTTTAAACTTTTAGGAGGCCAAGAAATGTGCACCTTTTCGCTATTTTTCGCGTTTAAGTATTTCGAAAAAAAAATTCCGCGATTGAGACGCCTGGAAGAAAAATCGAATCGTGCGAGCTGCGAAGATAGCTCCGTTATAATGCACATAGCATAGCACCTTCACTCCGCGTTTGTAACAGATAGTATAGTCGAGAGGCAGCCTTTGGTATACTACGTTGTGCCGCTGACCTAAATGAATCCTGGCCGCCAGTCAGTCCCGCTCCGGGCTTCTTCGCGGCAATATTGGTTGCTCGGCCGCGTTCCTCGTCGCGCTCTTCATGGTGTTTGGACTCAATTAATCTTTTTTTTTTTCCAACGCACAGCAATTGAAAGTGTCGTGAACGTCGAAAACCTATTGCAATTATCGTTTTTCCGCGTTTCTTCTATTATCACAACCGCGCCACGTTTTGCTAGTGATTTAAAAAAACTAACATGTTAATTGTTAATCCAGTTTCGTTTTATTAACAGAATTTAACAATTTGTTTTCGAATTTAATCATTTGCGCGGCGAGTACGAATGATCCATCTCGATCGCAAAACGGTTCCGCCGATCGATCGGAGCTTGGAGTCGAAAACAGATTCCTCGTATGTGTTGTACATGCTAAAACGGTGCCCCGGTTTATCCATAAGTGAAGGCACTCCGAGTTTACGGCCACAGCTGCCGCTCGTCAAAGCTGAAAGCACGGAAAGACGCATGTTGATCTGAAAATATACAATTGTGAATGGAAGAACGAGGAACGGTATTTCATGCATAATATAAGAGAGGTCGATGCCAGAGCGAAGAAATCGCAAAACACGAAAACGGGAGGACCAAAACATTCGTCCCGGGACAGGCACATCCCGCAGACTCGTCCTAGCGATGCGACATTCCACGCATGATTCCGCATAATCATTGACAACTGGCAGTAAGCGAATAGAATAAAAGTATAAATAAGTAACGAATAACAATAACACAAGAGAAGCGTAACTATGAGATCATCATTATGCTTTGATTCGATATTTTGCATTTCAATTATGCGAATGCAAATTATATTAGGCTGTATTTTGCATTTAAAATTTTTATATTTTTAGCCAGATTGCGTATCGGCGTTTCAGCGCGACAAAAAATTGCACACATTGTGCGATGATTTGTCCCGCTTCCTCTTTTTTTTTCTAATTTCCGACTCGCCGGCGCGGGCACGGCGGAACGTCAAGGACGCGTCTTCCTCGCGTCCTTGCGCCGGCTTATGGACGGTGCATTAATTCGCTCAATGAGCATAACAATGTAAATGCAAGCCCTCAATCAGATATACCGCCCAAGACCGTTTCTACACCGCCGAGGTACCGCAATTTCACGGTAATATCCGTTCCACGTCCGCGAAATATTATATCTACGATTGTGTGCACACGGATTTTGAATATGTAGCGCGCGTGCTTCTACGCGACCGCGACAGACGTGCAATTTTGTAAGCACGTAATCCGCATTTGCATCGGAATCCAAACCGCGTAACGTAGTATACTGCTGTACACATTGCACAACGCACGCGTACGCGATTTTGCATAATTTCTCTCGCGGATTAGCGGGAAATTCGTTAAACACTGAATCTTTAATCGCTTGCCTCGTCACGACGTCGATAGCGTCCGAGCACGTAGTTATCTCGCGAAAAAAAAAAGACGAGGAGTAACTGTAACAGCGAGAATAAAGGGAATAGGTACGCGCTCTCCTCGATGCCGTTTCTGATAAATTGATTCGTAATGCTATATGGAGCAATCGGTGATAGAATCTTCGTATAGAATCCTCGTAAAACCCGTTCTTCTCTGGCCTCGAAACCACGCGGAAGACTCGGCTGGGTCGGGCTTAGGAATTTGGCACGCGCACGTATTAGAAAAGCTTCTTTCACCCAAACACTGGGAAGAGAAAAAAAGGAAAGATAGAGGCGGAAATATACATAATTGAAAATGATAACGTATCGATTATCATGAATTTCCAACTCTTTCTTCTGCTCTTGACGATCTTTTAGAATTGATTTTTTTCTTAAAATAGTTGGATATTTTTTTTTTAATTATTCTACGCACAAGCAGTTTTATTTTCCGCAAAAAGTATAATCGCGTACAGTCACGTTTGGATGTTTGAAAAAAATCTTCTGATCTCGTATTCTAGCGAATGTACGCGCCTAATCGTGGCGAACGGTACGACAGATCAGCGGTGTCTGTTACTTTCTCAAAGCACGCTCGTATTCGTAACCTACTTCGATGTAGCGAACCGGGTGCAGACACCAGAGTGTCCGTGCCAAGACTCGAATTAGAACTAATTCGCTTCGGCAACAGGATCTACTTCACGTTTCCGTAGCTAGCACTTCGCATCAAATAGACAGATCACAAGAGGCTGATTTATATTTGCAAAATTGAATGGTGAATTTTTTCTACTTAAAACTGATTAATTTTTTTTTAAATATATGAAAAATTATTAGACTAAATCTGATGTCAAATGTATCGAGTTTGAAAGCAGTCGTGACGACTGAAAGGAACGAAAAAGGTTTACAAAACAATATAAAAGGAACATAAAACTCCCTCGTGAACCATGAATTTTTATCTCGGAAAACTCGCTTTGAATCAAATAGAATTCTCCTCCGAAATCGGGAATAGCAGAGAAGGGTTTCCTTTGTAAATATCTTGCCACTACCTGCTCGCAGGGTTACCTGATCTCGGCGCATTATTGGACAACCGTGAGATGTAATTCCAAGGTGGAGGTCGTCCGGGCATTCGCCAACATTCTTTCGAAATCGGCTCTTGACGAGAGCGGGATAGAGAAAGAGAGATCGAGCGAGATGCGAGCTGGAGAAAGGTGGAGACGGATAGTAGGCGGGTGTATCGTAAAAGTTTCACATGACCGAGTTAGAGGCTCTAACGGCTGAGGACAATAGTTATGACACCGAGAGATCATTTTCACGTGGGCGCCGCACCGCGCGTCGCACCTCCCAGCCATCGGTGGCGCGCTAATTGAACGAAGGTCATAATCATAAATGTAATTCCGTCGTTCATCCGTCTATTTTCGCGTAACACATCGAGCGCAGCGATCGGCGAAAGGTCGCTCTTAATTTGAAATATTCGCGTCGGGGAGAACGCATCAGCAAAATAAATAGATGCCTATCTAGATATTTACATATGTAAGATCGCAAATAAGATGCTCAGTTATTCGAATGCGTTGATGCGGAAGAGCAGCGCGGCCGAATGCCTGAAAGTACCGTGACTTTAATGCGCGCGATGCGCGAGCAGTGCGCGATGCGCCATTAGCGCACGCGAATGCATTAGTTTGCTATGCACGCATTAAAGTCACGGCGCTCTCAGACATTCGGCCGCGCTGCTCTTCCGCGTCGAGACGTTCGAGTGCCTGGGCAAGCACTCAGATGTGATCTTCTACACGCGTAAATATCTGTTTTTGTAATGGATTCTTCGATGAATATTTTAAATAAAAAGTATTGAACAGAATGCAAATTAATTAATAAACCGACAAAGACCAATTGCGCTTGCAATTAATTAAGGCCGTACTGTTGCTCGGTTAGAAAGTAACTAAATATTATTCAACAATAGATTAAAATTCATATATGATCGCGATAAAATATAAAATGTGATATTTAGGAAATATCACTTTATTCTAATTTGTTGCATTGTTTCAGCCAAACTAGATAATTCCCAGCACACTATTAACTGGAAAGCTATGTCTTGTTTACACGCTTCGACTATTTACTGATCAGTTTCTAAACTTGCCAGACTTTCGTCGATTTCATTCCCTACTTATCGTCGCACGATGCTCGGATAAATATTAAGCTAAAAAATGGCTGTGGTCTCGTAATCGTCATCGACTAACACAGTGCCCTATATCTGTGCAGCATTTGACCGCAGATGCTGCTGCGTTGTTTTTGTTTCAGAATTGAAAAATTTTTAAATATTAAATAAACGTTTCATTTTATTAATAATGCTGTATTCACACACACACACACACATCTTCGAAAAGTTTCTCCCAGTATTTTAATAATAATGATAACAGTAAAACTTGCTTTTATAAGAAGCCGAGTGCCAAGTTCTAGTACCGATTGCGAGATCTGAGCTATATAGTCACGTCGGGAGTTGAATGTACGGAGAAAATGCGGGTCAATAGTTTCATGCTGCAGCCATTTAGAACTGCATTTGTAACAGTGAATCCTGGACCGCGCAGGATTCTGCGCATCTTCCTTGAGAGCATTCTTCTCTGCGACGATGTTATCGGCGAAACTGGTCCGTCCTCCTCCCCCCTCCCGAAACAAGGTCGGACACCGGTCCGCAGCATCCCTCTCGACGGGGGATTCAGGTTCCACCTTCACAGGCAATTTTTCTGACTCCGATCGCTTCTACACCTCTCGGCATTCCAGTCTAATCGAGAGAGGTACGGCCTCCCGCTGTCGAATCGGACCTTGGAGACCTGTTTCGTTCGAAGTGCGGAATGCATTCCGAATGGACGCACCTTGATGCACATATCCACCTTTGACCCTGCGCTACGTGAAACACGTTATGTAAAATCGTAAAACAAATTTACTTATTCACTCTATCCGCCTAATGAGCTGTGTTTCTCTCCGCAAGAAGCATGCACCGCGATAAAAATGTTATCGCAACCGGAGAGCAAGTATCGATCGCTTGTAAGTGAAGGAAAAATCTTGCTTTTAACGTCTTCCTACCGTCATAAATTTACATATATCTTCGTTTATTTTTCTATTTAATTGCTCTCTAAATTGAATCTTTTATCGCGTCACAAATTTCTGTGTTTCTCCATCAAAGAAATTTACCGCCAACGTCTTGATCCTAAATATTGCTTTAAGTGAGATCTGAGATAAAAGTCACTGGATACGAAGCCACCATTCACCTCCGGTTAAGTTTACATAAAGTATATACATAAAGGAGACCGCACGGACTCCAGTGTTATCGCGGGGAGTGACTTCCTACTAATGCACCGAACGTGTCACCTCGTTCACGGAGGAATTTCAGCCTGGAAAGTAACGGTTACGACGGGCGAATATCGCGTAAAGCGTAAATCGACTCGCGTTTCTAATTTTACCGTGTGTTTAAGGCGTGAATAATCGGGTCGGACTTTTATAGCGACGGCTCGTAAAACTGCGACGGCCGAGAGATACTCCGATCTCGCCTTCTCGCTCATCACTCACGCGAAACTCCAATGCGAACTTTCCTCTCGGGATAACCCACATCCTTCGTGCAAAACTGTGAAAACAAACGACGACGAGTCGATTATACCAGCGAGGTATAATAGCGGCGACGAGATCGTCGCACCAGTTTCCTCGTGGCGACATTGTTATCACTCGTGAGAAAATTAACCCGGTTTCTTCTGCCCGCGCAACCGGTTTAGCATAGATGATAGCCGTGACTTCACTGTACAATGATGCAGCGGAATAAGATATTAAAACGTAGTATCTTGGTATCTCTTAATGATGAATTATTTCATCATAAACGACTTTCCTTTTTTTCTGAATAAAGCGTGCAGAAACCGCAATACTCTTTTTTGATTTATAGGCGGCTGAAAATTAATTTCTGCGATTTCAACTTTTATATAATTAATTGTACGATTAAATAACAAGTATCTTTTTTTTTGTAATTACATAGCTTTTGCTTTTTCAGATTTTTAATTCGAAAATCGATGTGAATCTGCCTCTCGCGTTCCTCTTAATAAAGGGACACTCTATATGCACAGATAACTATAATAATCTCTTAAAGAGATTATAGTACAGGAACATTCCTATTAAGTTTAAACGGGATCGAGATGATTGCGTAACAACGCAAACCGATTATTGCTATCTGCCGGTCTGAAAAAAAACTACTTGTCGTATAACTATGTAACATTGTAGTTAAAACCCGAGTATTGGAATTACTTTTTTTTTTACCATGACGTCCAGGATTATTTTTACACGACAATAAACGTTGCCGTTGGTTATCCAATTTACCAGAGAAAAACGTGTGTGACTAACGCTAGTTATCAAGCGGAAAGAAAAATTTACGTGCCGGTCGAGCGAAATGCGAACTTCATTCGCATGTGAAAGTGCGAGCAGTGCGTTAAAGTAAAAAAAAAAAGGAAAGAAAGCAGACTGCACGTATTCGGAAATACACATAGAGATAAAAGATACATATTATATTGAGCATTCCTTCGGCATAAAATTCGATGCGTTTCCGATAAGCATCCGTGTGAAAGTACAATAACTTACTATTCGCTATGTTTGCGGATGTTTTATGAGAAACCGGTAGAGCGCTCCTCTTATACTTCTCTTTACGAACGCAAAAACGTAGTGTAAAAAAACCGATAATCTTAATATATGCAGCTGCGATCAACTTTAATTATAATATTTATAATACACAATCTGCGGTATTTGCGGTTTTTATTCTAATATTTGCGATACGCAATTATACATACCAATAGAATAGAATCAATTTTTATAGTGAATTTAATGAACAATTTATAAAACATTCACGAAAAAGACCAATGCAATGTTCAGTCATTTGAAAGGCGCGTACGTCGCGTTACGCGATCGGAGATGCGTCTTCCTCTTCCTGCGTCCGCATCACGTGCGTAACCCCGGTAACAGGAAAGGGCCTGACGACGCGCGAGGGGGACCGTTCCTTGCGGCGATGTGGACAGAGGGGAAATTTTCTGCGGGCACGAGTCGACTTGGACGATAAATTAGACCGCGACGCCGACACTGCGCGGAATAGAAAGTTGCCTCGACGGCGCGCAGTACGAGAAGCATCGGACAAAGAAAGATGGAAAACGTGCCCATACTTTTCACGAGGAAAAGAAAATGAAACAGCACGGTGAAAGATTTATTTTTCCTCGGGATAATGTGCCTTCAGGCACATAATTTACGTTTACGCATTTCTTTTTTATCTTCAAGCGCAAGTAAAGATACATCATCTTTATCTGCAGTCTGTATAAAATTATACACCGTTCTAATAATTGTGATACAAAGAATTGCAATTAATCTACTTTTACTTTCTGAAAATCTCAGACTAATGCTAAAGGCGTCAACTAGATCTCTCACCAATTTTGTAATTACAAAATATTTTTTTTATTCTCGAAAGTTTAAAGAAAGATTATTATCTTTTGGTTTTTCATTTGCAGGGAAATTTGTCGGTAACAAATTTCATAAACTAATAGCCGTGTTGTGCAACCTTTTTATGGTGGTTGTAGACAAAACGGATTCACAAAGTACAAAGAAAAAGAGAGAGCAGCGGAGGAATGAGGATAGGGAAAGGAGCCACGTTGTGTGAAAACATCGCGTCCCCACCGCACCGTCCTTTTATATGACATTTGCACGCCGCGCTTCCTCCCCCTTTCGTTAATAACTTAGCCGTAACTGCCGCTGCCGCGTTGATTAACAACAATTCGCCGCTCTTCCTCGTGCGCGAATATAATTCGACACGGCGCGTTAATTGCCGCGACGCGGGCTTTCATCGAGATTAAGGTACCATTACTCTCGCCGGGAACGGTCCTGCCTCATTCCGCGGTGAAGGACGACCGCCGGAGAAATTCCACGCGGATCGTCCTATCGCCGTTGGCCATCGCGTCTAACGAGGCTTACCGTCGATGGCACGCCAATGACACGTCATTTAGATATATTAGGTATTCAGAAAGCAGCGCCGACAGCATAATGATATCTTTTAATTATGCGGTGTGAAATGCAACATTGCGTAGGAGTCGTAATCGTTTATTAATTATTCCGCAATTAATCACCGTGAACGACCGTGGGCGGTCGTCACTCTTCCTGCGCAGAGATGCGAAGCGAGGTGGGCGAATGGCTGGCCACGTGCGTAGGTTCGCCGATATGCATCCTGCTGCTGTCATGGTGCCTGTTGATCTACCAGAATCAATCATCCTCGGCGAAGCGGAAGATCGACGTGCTGACAGTCGCGATCCTTTCCCAGAGCCTCGCTCACCAATTGGGACTGCTGCTCTACGCGATTCTCACGTTAATCCGTCCGGCAAATCACTTTGGAGGTAACTACAGCTATTTCACTCTGTCAATCTTCACGTAACAGTTCCGAACGGCAAAACGATCGCGCAACAACATCTTGATTACATAAAATCGTACTCCGAAAAGCTCCGAATGCCGTAATTCAGTCGCTTCCTGCGCAACACGCGCGGCCTCACCTCGCCGGGGTCGTCGTCCTCTTCGGAATTCGTAGAGAAGCGCCAGCCAAATTCCGACAACTGTCGCGCAAATTAATTCAGCGGAGCCGAACTGGCCGGGCGCCCGAAAAAGAAGATCACGCCGACCGAGCGGCGTGTATGCTAAACATAACTCTCTTCCTGTTGCAGAATTATGCTCGACGTTGGTATGGCTGTTGAACTCGTCGAGCGTCCTCCAGGAGTTGACTCTCACGTCGATCGCGGTGTTCGCGGCGCTCAGCAGCCGCGACGACGCCGTGAACCTCACGAAGAACCATCTCAAGTACCACCTGGTCAGCTTGAGCGTCATCAGCGCCTGCATCGGCGTCACCGGCGTCCTCAACTTTGAGCCGGAAGTCTGCGTCTTCCTGCCGCACGAGATCTCTTATAAATACGGGATCTTCGTCAACTCGTTGAGGAGCCTGCTGGCTCTCACGTCGTTCTTCGGCGTGTTAGTCGCGATTTTCCGCAATATCTGCCGCTCGCCGACCTCCGAGCTGCTCAAGTCAGTCTCGGATTTGTCCGAGGCGAGCTCGAAGAACTCCTCGGGAGCGTTCGATTGCCATCCTCAGCATTGGGATCCGTCTAGCGGATCGTGCACCAGCGGTTCGACCAACAGCAGAGCATGCTTGCGGAAGAAGAGGATCCATGTGGACGAAGCCAGCGGCAGATCCACCGTTTACAGCATTCTCTTCGTCTGCTACATCTTCGAGCATTTGCCCATCCTGGTAATTATTTAACTAATTCTTTCATTATTCCTTACATTCTTTTAACTTTTATTATTTTACGTTTTGTATTATCATTAATCTTCGTTATTCTCTCCGGGTTCGACAGTGCAGTCGTAACGTGTGGTTTGCGAAAAATTGTTTCGATCATTAGCATAATCTCGTTACGACCCACGTCGAAGATCCGAGTTGCAAAATCGGTTTCTAATTTATGGAAAATCGTAAAACCTCGAGACGCGCTGTTGAAATAGTTGCATTTTTCCATGTGGTTGGTTTAATTATTATTATTACTTTCGAATCGCGGCTCTAACGAACCGGCTAGGGCGATGGTGATTGTTGACTCGAGGTTAACATTTATCAAGGAGACTTGGACAAAAAGCTGCGCGATTTATTAAACATTTCGCGATCGCGACTGAGGTCTCTTTTTTCGGCCCTGGAATCTTTTTTCGCATGGCGTCTCGATTATAAAAGAAATATTTCACAATATCCTCGAAATTGCGCGCCAAGCCAAGCGTAACAATGTTACATAGTTAAAAGTGGCCGACTCAATTTACGGCACGCCCTCGATTATACCTCTCGGCGCGGCAAGAAATGAGAATTAATCTGTCAGTTTTTTTTTTTTTAAGCAAAGATTCGCTATGTGGGTCATTAACGTTCATTAAGTTTCGTGCGGGATCAGACTTCTCATTAATCACCGTAGGCACAATGCCTGGGGCTTAAGAAATCTTTAAAGCCTTCGTGGGAAGACGTCTTTTGTTTAAAATAAAAGGAGGGGATTATGAGATGGAAAATAATGCAAAATTATATCCGTAAGATTGATCGTATTTCAATATTTCAAAATAAATGTCTCTGAGCTCCGGAAATTTTTGTATCCTCCGCGCTGAGATGAATCGCTCGAATCAGTCACGCTTCTGAAAGTTTCGTCTATAAAACCCGACGTGGTGATCGAGCAAATTGTTCGATCGCCGTCACAGCAATTACATCAGTACAATTACATCAGAGGAGGATCTTCGTGCGAGCGAGCGCGAGCCGGACGCAAACTCGTTCGAGCGCGTGCGCCATCCGGAAGCGAGAGAGGCTCTAACGCTTGTAAATTCCGCTTCTCGAGAAAGTGGCCTGTCGCGATGAGGAAACAAAAAGGACCGGGAGCACAGAAAGGTCGGAAGAGACTCGAGACGCGGAGCGAAATTCGAAAGCGCGATCTTAATTCGGACGGCGACCTTAATCGATGGGCCAAATTAAGAATTCAGCGCCGGTCCGCGAAGAATCGATCGGAGAAACTTTCCGTGATCCTCCTTAATTAATATTAATGATCGCGGCTATTACACGCATGACGCATACTGTTTACACCACGCGCGAACGACGCGCGACCAATTAGATTATCGTCAGGTGGGCGTAGAGCGATCTCGCGTAGAGAATCGCGGAACGAATGCTAAAGTCGTTTTTGCTAGCTTCGTGACGATGCACGATCGTGAAGCGCGAGGTGAAACATCCGGTTTATATATTATTTACTTGTCACTATGAAATGTTTCATAAACGAGCGGAGTTTTATGTCTCATCGTCTCTTTAATATCGACGGAACTGCGTAGCTACGCAATAAAACGACAATATAAAACACTGTTGCAATACGCGCGGATCCACGCCCAAGACTCGTGCGTATCAGCTCGTTGAGAAGTAATTATCGGAATACCGTTCGTCGAAATAAACCCCGTTCACCGCTTGCGCGCGCGCGAACAGCGTGACGGCCGTTACACTCATGTTTTTGTCTAACGATTAAAGTCCATATAGATTAATTGATAAATTAAAAGAGGTATATATTGCACCAGCGTTGGTTGGAAATTTGCACGCGGATATATTTCAACAAATGTGCCGAGATCGGCCAAATCTCTTCCGGGATCTTTTATTGCTATTTGAAATATAAATAATCTGCGTTTATTGCGATATTTGAATCCGATGATTTCTCGCATTAGGCAATTATTATCGGGATTTTGATCAGACCGAAATCTCGGTGCCGATCGCACTTTTAAACAAACGCGAAGAGCGTGACGTTACGCTCGCGTTTTCCAACGGTAATTAAAGTAAAACGCCAATGCTTATTCGAGATTCAATGCGAGTTCACGTTAGAATCAGTAATAAAGAAATTCACGGATTCGTAAGATAGAAAACAATTGCAAAAAAATTGGGAAAATACACGCGGAAAGAATTAGAGAGAACTGTAACCTCTGCTTATATCAGCAATTGGAGCAATAAAATTAAATTAAGCAGAATTAAATTCAACAATTCAGCTGATTAAAATCAAAAGGATTAAAATTAAGAAAATTGCAAATATTTAGTTTAATAATTTTTTTACAAAAAAATAAGTAAAATAAAAAATCGAAATAACTTTGCAGAACTCGACTGCGAAATAATGCGGAAAGCTTTATTTTTTTTTTTTCTTGCCACTTTCAGACGTGTTGAAATTTACAAAGCACTATTGTTCTAATATGATTACAGAATACAATCTCGCGAAAGAAAATTTTGATTACCTTGACAGGAGTGAAAGGAATTAATCAAAAGAAGTGAAATATAACAGAAAATTTATGGCTGGTAAACATGACGCGTTAAACAGAGCGAGATACATTTGAGAAAAACAGAGAGAGAGAGAGAGAGATCGGGATTGCGCGTGCACCTTGTACACGTTTGCACGCGTGTATCGGAGCCGCTCTATTCTCTAATTAAAAGGTGCAACTAGTTTCGATTTCATACCTCGGACTAGACCGGCCGTTATTCACGTAATCGGCGGCGGTACCGCCGTTGCATTATGTGTACCGTTCGCAGCAGGATACGCGGTGCAAGGAAAAAGTGCCGCCAACTGAAAGGAAGGCCGTGCTACCTGTTAATTAACGATAATTTGATTATCTTGTCGCGATTAAGAGTTTACCTGAAATATAGCGAAATATAATTGTTTGCATAAATAAATTGCCCTGAAAACGCGAAAGCAGCGTTCCAATCTCGCGGAGAGACACTCTTATCTCCGCGCGATCGCATATGTTTCAAGTATTTATATTTATGTGATTTTACAATTATGTAAATTTGACAGCTAACAAAAGTGATAAAATATTAAGGCTTTTACAGCATCGAGTAATTGGAAGTTTAAGCAGTTTCCGATTGAAATCCATTTGCGTGCTTGTAAGGAAATTAATCAACGCGATATAAACTTCAATAAAAATAAATCCCACAGTCGTACAAATGTGAAACGGAAGATTTCAATTGTGCGCGGCGAGATCTCTCGTGTGTACCGTTTTAGAAGAATACAGCCAACGGGATACTATTCGCGATCGCTCGCGCACACCTCCGTACGACGTTGTAAAAACGGACGAATATACTGTGACTGTGCGGCCCAAGCAAAATTGCGTATCCGTTCGCGCGTCGCATCACATTGTGCACGGTGCGCGTACTTTTGAAAGCGCGACCGCGGAGTTTTCACCGCGAATTCCCGCGCGAATCCGCGGTTAAAATCGAAAGTTTTTCTCTCCTCGTCACTTCGAAGAAATTCGGCCAAGATTTTTCCAGCCCGCCCCGCCCTGCAGCTCCTCATCCTTTCTCGTCTGCACGCACGTATTTGGTATCGCGCGAACAATTAGCCGCGTGTAATTGACGCGGTCCGAACGTAACGACGGATTGCGCGCGCGGCGAAAGTTGGACCCGATTTCTGAATATAGAATCTTCTTGACATGATTTCTGGTGAAATTTATTAATGCGAGAGAGAGGAAAAGCTCGCCGCGGTCTAGAATGCCCGCGTTAGATTACGTTGCATTAAGCGCGTCTCGCAACGCAGATTGCGGAGATACCGTTTTCTATACACCAACCATATGGCCACATTCGATTAATGATTATCGCGGTTAAGCGATGAGCGTTATTAAATCCAGCGTAATCGATCACGAAGATATATTATATGTCTATAATAGTTAGGACATTACGTTACGCTGCAATGCTCCACCGTATTAAGTTATAAAATTAATGACTGTATCTATGCGGATTTAATAAGATTAATTCACGAGGCGATAAAAGATTGTAGATTAATTGGACGCAACTTCCTAGGTCATCTCCATCAGACCGAGCCTTCTGAGGAACGTCTGCACGCCGCAAAATCTGGCTACGTGGTTGCCACTGATGAAGGACACGCTGCTTCCGGTATTTCTGGCTCTGTTCGACAAGATGTTCTGCCGATACGTGGCCAAGGTGTACACGAAGCAGGATCACGCGAGGAGACTGTCGCACGGTGCGCTTCATTTCTTTTCCTTTTTTTTTTCCATTGCAAAAGCAACGGGTTTCGCGCAAACGTTCTTTCGCAACGCGGACGCGGACGCTATGTGATTTCCATTCTTTCGTTAAGCAAAAAAACACACTGACCTGTCCGTCGTGCGTGGGAAAGTAAGAATGTCCGCTGCAGTAATCGTGATTCCTGGCCGCGCAAGCGGCGATATTCCGCGCGACAACCGGCAATTTTTCTCGTTAACGACGCGCGTTCGAGCGATTCGCTCGGCCATATTTTCATTTTGCAACACATGCAGTGTTATTTACACGGTTTCGTGTTCTTCCATAATGCACACTTTTCTTTATCGGATTAAAATAGCTCGACGCGCTTCCGCCTTCTTGATATTTATTACGATTCCCATCTAAATTAATGTACATAGATACCGGGAGATAAAATTTATCAGCGAGCAAATCTCAGCAGTGCTGCTTTAAAATTAGAGTGCTGAAGCAACGGGCAATTAAGTTTCAATTTTTTTTTAAATAAAAAATGTTGCCTCGAATAATTTATAAGATGTAATAAAATTTATAAAACTGTTATTGCCGTAATTAGACAAATACTTGAAGCAATTTTTTTTCAAACAAATTTCTCTTTTAGGTGGAATAGACGGTAAATTCCGACACTTTGAGCAGGACGCCGAGTACAAGCTGCAATTGAACCTGAATCACGGGCTGAAGTTTCCCCTGACGAACGGAAGCCTCTACGGGCGGCTGCACAGCCATCAGAACAGAGGTGAGTGTGCGAGAGCGGATGTCAGCGGGATTTAACGACGCGAAAATATTCCGATCGGCCAATAGTGCTCTCTCTCTCTCTCTCTCTATCTCTCTCTCCCGGCCCATATTGTTAATTGCGACCTTTATGCGGCTTCATTAATACACTCGTCGAATGCCACGTTAGAAAGTCAGAGGCGAAACCGCCTCTCGCGCTTGTAATCTTCTCTAGTCTACTATCGCCGCCGCACCACCATCTCCACCAGACATTACAAGTCACTATAACGTGAAAAGATGAATGTTTCGATATTTTCGAAAGCGATGCTCTCACGAACTGCAGCGGCCTTTGTTTCATTACCTCGACAACCTGTTTATCAAATCGGACGTTAATTGGAAGATCGTTAAATATACTTTAATGGAAATATATTGTCCTGTGTTACAATTATTGGCTATTGTGATATTTGTTTGTATTTATGCAATTTTTGTCGTTGTGCTTGCAGCGAAGACCGGTACGATCACTATGGGAATCCAACAGCACTATCCCAGAACGCAGCCGACGAACGAGGACGCCAACTACGCGTCTCTGCCGGCGGAGCTGTCGTCTTTTACAAGCTCGACCTTCGAACCTCGTCAAGAAAGGATCCCCGAATCGCCGAAGAAGAACTCGATGGAGCAGCAGCACAGACGACCGCGACCGAACGAGAGCTTGCACGAGCTCGTTGGTAATCGCAGAAAAATTGGCAGCACCGACGTCTTCGGGCAGAATATGGAAAATCTGGTCCAGCTCGAGGATCCCGTGAATAGCCGGAAGTTCCAGGTGAAGAGTCTGGACGAGATTCGCGAGGAGCCGTCCAGGCGACACGCCAGGAGCGTGCTCGGTCTCGAGAGCCTGATCGTCGGGCTGGAGAGCAATCTGCAAGAGCATTATCCTAGGAACATTTTGCGCAGAAATCAAAGCTTCGACCACGCCAGGTACCGCTTACTTGCCGGCTCGTGCCGATACCTTTTAACGTACCTTCACTTTTACTCGTGCCATTAATCCGCCGTCACGATGTGCGGCAAGTGTACAACTGGAAAGTGAGACGCAAAGTTTCTTATAAATTATTCAAAATGCACGTTTCGACGCGCATCATACGCGCTCGACGACCTACATTCGTCAGTCTGCCTTTCTTTCATCAACTTTGATACATAAAATGCGATCGAGTACTCTTTCTCAGTACACAATTCATATTTATTAAATGTTATATTTGTCACGTTATTTAATATTTTAATTTATATTATATTACGCCACTCCATAAAAATTGGAAAATACTTTTCGGACACTCGAGCAATTTTTAAACTACTGAAAACTCGGCGAAAAATAACGTAAAAATTAAAAAAGCATTTTAAAGCTCCGAAGTTGTAGCGGTTCGAAGATTGCTCAACTTTGTGCGTCTGAAAAGTGTTCCCTATTTTTTTGTAGAATAGTGTATATTTAATAAATATAATAAATGTATTACACTTATATAATGCACACTTTTGTTAATTATTATAAAATGTCTTTTAGATATCGACCTATGCTCGATACGAGGACCTTCAACTTAAAGAAAGATGATCACATGAGAGAGAACTTTCAACAGAGTCTTCATCAGAATTTTCATCAGAGACAGGATAGTCAAGGACATTGCGACGGATACGACAGCTCCGATGACGAGAGTTGCGATTTGGAGAACGGCGACTTCGATACGATGAGTTCCTGCCGGAGCAGAAGCAGGAGCTGCTGCTCTGTCACCACGGTCGCTAATGATGATTTCGAATATTTCCAACGTAAAGGAACCAAGGTAATTTGCAACTAAACATAGTCTGTGCTAAGAATTTCAACAAACTTTTTAATCATTTTCAACTTCTACTTTACTTTTTAGCAATTTTGCTTTAAAATTTAACAAAACGCATTAAATCAATTAAGTTCAACATTACGACATCTGCATCTTATCTTTTTTCTTTATTTTTAATTATATTATTTATTTTATTTTTTAATTTTATATTGTTTGAACTTCTCTTGCGAAAATGGTAGGCAGTAAGATAAACACCCGCTGACAACGGTCGGAATGACTGTCGATTACAGTGTTAAAGCGAAAATTACAGAGAGAAGATGAAAGGCAAGTCGGACTTTCACGATGCGAGAAAATGCATCGTTAAAGTAGAAAGACGCTCGCCGCTGATGGAGCGTTTCATCTTTTCGCGGCGATAAAGGCGCGCACGCTTACGTAATACCGCATCGTGAGAACGTTCTGCATTGCAGGTGGAATTGCTGCCCTCGAAGCGAGCCGGTGAGGTAAAGGTCAGCATGCGATCTTTCACGCCGCGTATCATAGAGAACGGCACGGACGATAGAGAGGACAAGAAGTGCGGCAGCAACGCAAAGCTGATCGACACGAAGCCCAGCATACAGTCGTATCATCTGAAGACCAAGAGGATTGGGCCTGGTTACTCGATGAACGATTTGGACAAGCTGGCCATCGACAAAAAACTGCCGAATTTGTCGATGGAGAGCCTGAAGAGCATCCTGAAGAACTCCGGCGTGAGCTATCTCGACAACGGCGATATATGCAAGCACGAAATCGGCGGCTCGGCGCCAGACTTCAAGAAGATCTTCGTCACCGAGTTTATATGAGGCACAATGTAGAGCGTTTCTAAAGGCGGAAGACTGTATCGTTTTATCCTTGTGATATAGTAACAGCATGTGCGTAGATAAAAACGTAGCAAATTCGCCTCGACCGGAAAAAAGACTCTTATCAGGCACAGAAAGTGCAGATAGAATTCTAAAAAAAGAAAGAATCTAGAGTATCAGATACATGACGATAAAGTAAAGTTCTTTTATATAATAAAAAATAATTGACATAAATATCGATAGCTAGTGCCAAAAGCTTACGAGTGCTTTCGAAGCGCGTGACAAACCGTCATTTTCATTTTTCTAACAGAAAATCCAAATTTTATACGCGAACCCTTTTTTCAAACGTGACGTCACATCTGTATGCTTGTTATTAATTGCAAGCTACGGTCGATGAGTTTTGGAATGAGCGCTAGATGAGTGAAATTATCGCAGACGCCTCCCGCAGCGTCGCGTCTATTTTTGTAAAAATGCTGTAAAATACTTTACAATACGTAGTGGATTTATTTCGGACGGGGAGTCGATTATACAAATGTTAACTTGTACATATTTTGTATATTTGTACCGCAATATTTAATGTAGCGATTTATGTATACGCGCATACAATTACGCGTGGCTCCAAGACGTGTCCATCCGAATGTCACGAGAACGACGAGTAAATTGTATAAATTCATTGCAAATATATTTTACTTCTGGGTTTATGCGTGAGCAATAATTTCAACGATTGCCTTCCGACCCTCTTCGTGAAGTCGAGGAAGTGAAAACTTGATCTCAAGTGTTCAACAATTTCATTAAAATCGGATCGAAAACAAAATGCAACACGCTGAAATTGAAATAAATATAATCCACTTTATTAAATACATTTTTTACAGCTCGTTGCTCGTTTGTAGAACCTAAGATACTATTTATCTCTCGATCATTCAATTGACTTGATCGTAAATTCGCAATTATCGGCAACACGATCGCCTTGCGTTGGTTTTGACCGCTTGCGTATCGTTTCCTCTTTTTTTTTTTTATTCACATGCAGTGAGCGTTGCTGGCAAGATTGAGCATAGCCGATGTCGCATGAGCTCATGCGGTAGATTACAGGCACGCCCTTCGTCGTCTATCGCGTGATAGATACGCCGTAATCGCCGCCGGTCGCCGCTGTCGTAACTGCCTAATTAAACGATCTGTCCCACACGACTGCGATTTACTATGCACACGTTGACTAGTAATACACGGTTTGGCATCGTTAATCGTATCTTTACCTACGATTGCATTAGCCAGTGGCGCAGAAACACGGCACGTACGCTCGCGATGCCTCGCATCAGACAATTACAATATGTCAGTACAATTCGCATAATAAACACCGTTGAAATTTTTTTTCGAAACATAAATTGCTGGATATTTGTCAAGCGCTTAGTACATTTTTTACGCTGATGTTAATAATTAATTAACGATTCTTGAGAGCTGTTGTAATTTGCTTGCTATGTCGCCTTCCGTTTTTTTTTTTCGCAGTGCTTATACATTCTTTTATTATATAATTTAATTTAACTTTTCCTTGAAAATGCATTCTGTATATTACAAAATAATGCTTGACTCGTCAACACAATTTAGACTTCGCGTGTTAATGAAAACGTACATATTGCGTAAATGCGGCTTCGAGAAGCGTTTGTTTGAAGTTATTCCGCAAAAATAGGCATATGTAACGAGACTCGCTATACATCTGTTCGCCTCCCGGGACTCCAGTAAACTCGCGGATCTAAAAATAGTGTGCTCGACCTCAACTACTTAAACACAGCCACGTAACCCGCGTCGAACGACGCTTTATATCCTATCGATGTCGCCGCGGAGCAATTTCAATACGCCAAAAAAATTGACGAATGATAGTGCGCGGCTAGACAGCGGGCTGTGCGATCTAGGTAGGTCAGCGACGTGTCGCATGGCAACGAAAAATAACAACGGTGTGCAGATCCAGCCTCACGTGCCGTTCCCACTCGCTCGCTATTCGCGTGCTACTCCTCTCGCCACGCGCCGTTGTTTTTCGTTGCCAGATCGTACGGTCTAGCCGCGCGCAACGCGCTATCATTCGTCGATCCTTTTATGCGCTCTCCATCATATCAATCTGTTTATACGTCTTCCAAAAGCGCTCGCCGCGATTAAACTTTCGTTGCTATTGTATTTCGTAGCGAGTAGATCGATGGATCGAAGCTTCCGTACCGATAAGATTGATAGAAATAAAAATTTTCCAGCGAATTGATTACATAAATAATCATCCCCTAATGAGTATTGATCCTTTGCAAGCTCGTGGGATAATAATCTCTTGTTTCTATTATCTCGTCTTAGGAAGAATTAATGTAAATCGTCATTTCGCTTTTTCGCCGGATAAATTTATATATTCCAAGAGTGAGATTCTCGTTACGACTCGCAAATTCTACGCCACTATGCAAACGCGATTCAATACTGGCACTTTGACACAAGATCGGGCAGGAAGCCCGATCCCCCCTCTCCCCCCTTGCGTTTGATTGATCTGCGTCATCAATGACTGGCGTAGACGAGATCGCTGCCGCGGAAGATCGCCTCGATCACGGACTTCCGGTTGAACTCGCCGCCCTGGGACTCCATCGCGTCGATTAGCCGCTGATATCGCTTCCAGGCGGTCACCGACGCCACTTCCTTTTCCGGTCGGTCCTTAATCTTCTCGTACACATCGCTGCCGACCGCAGTCTCGGAAGTCTGACACACCGCTTCTGTATCCGGTATCATCTGCAAAGTCGCGATTGAGTGATTCGACATTGTCATTGGGATTCTCCGTTGATGGCAGGGAATTACCGCGCGTATTATTCTTAATATTTCCAAGAAATTCTCAGAGACTATTGAGTTTTTATTTCTCTTTTTCTCCAATTATCGCACGAATATATGTGACAATTAAAAAAAATTGAAAAATGACTTCATCTCATGCAAGATGCAACGCGAATATCTAAGACATTAAATCAGAAACGTTGGACGTTACTTTTAATAGACTATAGTCTATTAAAAGTAACGTATAGAATCACAAGTAATCAGTTATTGAATGAAAACGATAAAGTGCGACAATTATTGTGTTTTGCAAAATCTTCAAATTTACTAATAAAATTTATTTGATTCGTATTTTCCAGTGGCATTCGCTCTGATTGTATCAGATTAGCTCACAATCGAGCGGAAGGAGATCTCAGAGGGTTTATACGAGACCGAGCATGACCGATGTTTGCAGGACGTGTTGTAGACACGTGTAACGCTACCCTAAACCCCTGAAATCAATACTCGAACGGCATTACACTGTTACTAAGGATGCCCAGCCCTATTGCCAGATTTTGAGACACCCTTGCGCCACTTTAACCGACTTGGAGTTCAACGGCCAACGCGAGCCCAATCACCTTTGATTTTTAGTTATCAGTAATCCGCTCTGCCAATTACAACCATTTGCAACAGGTAATTGCATTAAATAATTATGTAACAATAAAAATTGTAATGATTGCAGTTAATGAACAAGTATGATTAATGAACGAGATAATAGTGCTGCTAAAATTGATCATTTTATTCATTAAAACACATAAATCCAACGATTTTACACGAACAGAAAATTATTTTACACTTTACGAGCCCTGTTGCGAGTCTAATTTAATATTTTAATTATCAATCAATAGAATCGCACTAAGAAACCCATTGTCCGTTATTCCCAAGCCCGTTACGTAATTATCGTCCCGTTATTTAATTAACAGAGGGTCAAATATTCGCTTCTTGCGTGCCTCGACTTCGCGCTCGAGCCTCTAATCATTTCTCACCGCTCACCTTCGGTTTCCGCCGGCTCTCGCGCGACCTCGTGACCCGAGGGGAAGGAGGGGAGGGGAGTCAAGGTCGTCCGTGCTGCGTTGCGCCCTGAATCGCCGATTCCACCGTTGAATCTGGATCGGGGAGATCGGATTTGTCCAACCGTTGTGCCGAGACCGAGTCAGCGCGCGGTCCAACAGTAACTGAGGAAGCCCGACCAACGCGTCGGCCATCAACTGGATCCCCGCGATGACTTTTCCCCCTCTGGTGGTGCCCGGAACCTTACATGTGGCTACCATATGGGAGAGGGAGTGCCGCTTAGTAGACAACGCCGGGTGTAGAACTCACCTCTTTCATTTTCTCACCCCGGTCGCGCTCCTACGATGACTCAAGGGTGTGTTTCCGATATCCGGTTTCACCGCTCGCGTGTCGCGGATTTTGCTCGCGAGCGACGTAGCGCTTCAAATCCGACGCGCGGTGGTCGACTATACTTCCGATCGATGCACACGCGAGTTTACGAGCCGCTTTATGCGCGTTTACGGTGTTATTATAGTCCATGTCGCTCCTCGTGGTGTATAGTCACGTTTCACTGAAGAGGTATTATTGCGCACGATTGTGTAACTGTTTATTTCAACATTCAACGTCACGAACGATTTCTCTTAATTACAGATGAATGGACAAATTAGTCTCTCTTCTTTTTATTATCATTTTTTTTATGGATTAAGGTTTAGCTCTTTGTATTTCGTAATGTGGAATTACATCAATTGTATCTCGACACAGGTGTAGATAACGTAAAACTAAAATTTGATCACTATTGTCAACATAATTTATGTTTCTAGAAATATAAAAAAATTGTTTTAATTAAATTCTATTCTTAAATCATCACTGAATTATTTAATCCACACATTTGCAAAAAAATGTTTCAAAATTTATTTTATTACGAAGACACGTTGTGGTTGAAAAAAATATATCCTTTCTCCTTCTATTTTAATACTTTCCATTGCTCGGCTCGGCGAGGATACGGGTTCTGCCTTAGAAAAACAAGTGTCGCCTTAATCTCCTTATTATGCTACGGTGCTTAGGAACTATCAACGCTGAAAATGAATTATGACAATGATACGTACGGGTGGGCAAACGGACCAAGCTAAGTGACGCGCGTTTAATTCGAAGCGTCTGCATTCCGCGACGATCCTGCATCGAAGACGAAAGACATCCGGCCACCGTGGCGAGCACAGCCGCATCATAGGGGCCCACGTCGGCGGTCTATTGTGGCGGCGTCGAGGAATCGAATAAATTGGCTGAATTGGCCCGTCCGTGAACCGGCAGACGTACGCAGATGCAGATGCGCGATAGATCCCGCGTGTTGCGTAACCCGCAGGCCGTCTTCTTCGTTCCAAACCTCGTACGTCGTATCACGGCAATCGCGAAGCGAAAAACTATAGAGCATCTGATATAAAGAGTTTGTTGAGTCTTTTAATTAAAAAAAAAAAAAAAGAAAAGAACATTTTAAAGCATCTCGAAGTATCTACACGATAACATCTATTCATATCAATTATGTGCCGCGCTTGATTTCATCTAACATTACGATCTAATGAGATGCGTACGATGAAATTTATTTATGGCAACTCGAAGAGTTCGGTCGGACGAGTGCAAAAACTTCGTCTCAGAAGCTAAAGTAGCGGAAAAAGGTTGGTACACCACAGCTGGTTGCAGCATGCCGTGCATCAAGAAGATATTAAAAAAAGTTCCGTCTTTCTTTGCGTGTAACGAACGACCGTTGTTTTGCGCATCCATCTGCCAGCGAGAGAGATACCGATGCCGCCGTAGTTCGTGAGAAAATGTTGTAAATTTTAATAAACGACTCAAACGATACTCATAATTGTTCAGCAAACTCTTGTACATAAATTTCACAATCGCAAATTTGATTGAGTTAAACGTTTCTCTCTGACAATGTCTTCTTTGATAAATAAAAAATTATATAAATGCTTGATTTTCTTTTAGCCGATCGAATCGAACGTGGAATCAATCGACGGTATGGAAAATTGATCTCACAAAATCCGACAGATGCGGGCCTTAATGGCCCAATCGGCACGCATTGTCTCGCCGCGCACGCGGCGAGGGCGCGTGCACCCATAAAGGACGCACGACGCCACTTACAGCTGCCGGAAGTATACATCTGCTAAGGCAGGATCTACGAACCGTACGGAGATCGGGTCGGGCTTCTGGCACACTCGCACTCTGGATCACGTCGTCACATCGCGTCGTCCGTGATTTTACACAATTGTCATTACGCAGTCGCGAGTCGACGCCGGCTAATGAGCCTCTCGCCGGGACGAATAATCAAGACGGTTGATTAAAATTGGAAAAAAGCCGACGGAACGAACTAGAAACCCTCACACGTGGCAGACCCGTGGACTGGCGGCGGGGCCCACCTTTATTTTCGAAAAACAGCGGCAGCTGTCCGGAAGAAACGATCACGGCTCGGCGAGGCTCGTGCTGAACACCTTTCGCCTCTAAATCGAGGACTGGTGGATCTCGGCACAATCCTGATCAAGATTCGTCGCTAGATATAAATATTCTTACGCACACACAGATGAAATCAAGAAAAAGACACGCAACACTGCTTTTGTTGCCGTTTAATTCAACGTTAAAACAAAGCAAAACAGAAATTGAGTAATGTACAAATTTTTATGTAAAGAGAACAAAGTTAATTTTCACGAATATAAATCAAATGTATTTTTTTGGACCTTCAGTTGCGTTTAAAATGTAAGTTTATTATTATAACATATGCAGATTTATCGGATTTGTCGTACCTACATGCAGCTTTGGATAATATCTCGTTGGCAATCAAAAATGCAAATCGGATGCAATTAATATCAGCTCAACATGTGTAAATACGACGGCGCGCGTAAAAATCACTGTATTTTCGTGCCTGAGTTTATTTTTCAGATTTATGTATCCCAGACGCATTCGAATGCCGAACAGGGAGAGGACGATGCATCTGCCCCTCTCGGAATTATCTGCATCATCAATGGCTGAGAGTTGGCGGAGAGCCTTGTTACAGTCATTATTAAAATCAAGTTTCACGGGAAAATCGCGAGGTGCATGCGTGCGGACGAGCATGCATGCGGCTCGCGAGCGGCACAATTCACGTAAAAAATCCTTGCCGTAAAAAGATGTTTACCGCTTGTAACGGCTCGTTTGCACGTACAATCCGCCTCCCAGCCCGTCGTTATAAACGAAAATCGCAGATATCTTCGATGGAGAAGTTACTTTATAAGCTGATAACAAATAATACTTCCGCCTCGTTTGTACATACTTCCACGCGAATTATGTACAATCGCTTTATCAAGATCGCATCACCGCATTAAGATGATACACCGCAGCCGAGAGAAAAACACAGAAAGAATTTATTTTTATCCTGAAAGAGATTATTATCCTCGCCCGGATTAACAAAGCAAACCGATGCAAATAGATAAAATGGGATGCCGCAACAGCATTGAATCACGTAAAAAACGTAATGATTTCACTCCTTCCTGAATTCAGTACGCAAGGAATCAATTACGCAAACCAATTTAATTTTAATTAAGGCAATTATTGTTTAACAAGAAAATAGATCAGTTTTCACGTACAGTATTCTGCTTTTCCGAAAGCAACGTTCAGTAGGCAATTTTTATCGCGCAGGACGAGTTACAAGAATGGGGGGAGCGCACGTCCAGCATTGTGTTACGAGTACGTGTCATCGATTTTCTTCCAATCAACGTGACCTGCGGAATGCGACGTCGACGGCCGCCGCCCGAGCGCAATGTCCTCTCAACCCTTTTTTCGTTACTTCTCCACCCCCGCCAGCTGACGAGCGACGGACACCACCTCGACGGTTACCGACCCGGACGAGCTGTCTCCCTCGCGGCCGCACCACCTCTCTCTCTCTCTCTCTCTCTTTCTCTCTCCCTCTCTTTCTCTCTCCTCCGTCGTCCCGCGTGCTGGCCCACTGCGCTCAAAAAACCGAGACGATTTCACGTAGTGCCAAAAAAAGGGCCAAAAAACCGCAGGCTCCATCCCGAACGGCAGGATGTTCCGATTCCGGTAGGACGAAAGGGGGAACCGGCGACGTACGGCGCAATCACATTGTAACAGCGTGTATCGATTATTAATTGTCCGATACAAAAGAACGTTGAGTAATTACTTTTTTGGCGCGTCGAATATTTCTCACAGTTGTAATTAACAATTCGAAAAATTTGAACGAGGAAGCAAAATGATATTTTTAAAGAGCGAAATAGTTAAATGGCTCGACGATATTCCTCCGACGGGATTTATCGGTGCATCTGCTCTCTGTTTCGGCCCGTCCCTCGCCGCCGTCACGCCTCTCCTTCGAGTATCGCGTATCCTTCTGCCGCTCTAGGACGAATCCGGCAGCGATCGTGAAAGGATCACGAGAGGCGGCCGGGAGGTCGGCGAACGCGGTTCGCGAGACGGCGGGGAAGAAAGCACATAGATTCTCCTGGTAACAGCAGTCGGCGAGCTGCTACCCCCGGCTTATTTTCGCTGGACGCGAACGTCGAAGACAACAAAAGTACCTCGACGGAGCAGATGCATGGCATGTGCTACGAACCGACACCAGATGCCCCATTGGCGTAGAGAGATCCCTCGACGGCGACCCCGATAAAGGTGCACGGTGCGCGATTCCTTTCAAGCTGGTCGCGTGCCAGATCCACGGCCGTTCGTTCATGCACGGCCCCTTCTCCCATTACTCCGCGGGCCGTTGCTAGGGGAACGTCTAACGAATTTTTCGGCATTTTCAACTTTGCCGGTTGTTAATTTCGGCTCATTTCCTTTTTTGCAATGTTATTTGACAATTTCTTCAGATATTATGAAAAATGCATGATATGTATTGTCGCATTGAAGAACGAAGTTCGACGATTTCTCCGATGTAGCGAGACAATAATTTAAAAAAAGAGTCAAATGCGTTTTATTTATTAGCTCGTCGCCTGCCTTTCTATTTTATTATAAAAGTGTTACAATTGTTTTGTCACGCGAACACGAAATACAATATCCCGTGTAACAATATTTTCCAGTATTTCAGAGCAGAATTTCTAGATTTTACGATTTACGCCCCTAATTAAGAATCCAATTAAAAGATAAATAAGATTAAATTCATGAAAAATGCTTAAGAATACAGCAGCGCATTGAAATGTGTTCAATAATTAGCGCGAACACCCTGGTTTATTTTAAGGACTGGGAAGACGAGAACGAGACGACGGGCTTTAATTAACTTAGCGGTCGTTTATTTACTGGTCAATGTTATCTACAGTGATTTATTGTAAAAGTAACAATAGTCGTGTATAAGTTAAAACGATATCATACATATGTACAGATCACTGCCCGGCATGATCGATCGCGTGAGAGAACCGTCGACTACTCCCCGCAATTGCGAAAAAGAAAAAGAATTCTTTAACAAATTCTCCGCAGTTCACGGTCGTACTTCGATTTTTTCACGCGATCCATCACGGCGTGAAGTCTCCTCGACAAGTCTTTCTGACAAGTGACGCACGATCGAGGTTCGATCATCGATCTCGAGTCACTCGCAAGAATCGGTTTCATTTATCTTGTTTCACTTTTTTTGCTCCTGCTCTTTTTTTCTTTATATCGGATTGACGCTGCGATCGATACGTGATACCGATCAATTCGTCAAAATAGGAACGGTAAATGTTCGACCTAAGTAACGATTAGGGCGCGGAAATTCGTCAGGTTTCACGGCGCGAGTTGTATTTGCGAATGAACGATGCTGAGACGCGGTCCATCTTTGCGCGCATCGTAAAAGCTCAGTAAAAGCAAAATCTTCTTTTTATTTTACCGTTGGTGTTATCAAAAAGGAAATATTTTTCTGGGCTCTTTACAGCCGTGAAATCTCGCGAACTTCCGCCATCTTTCGGTAACGACTCGCTGACCTATGACCGAATAAGTTCCTGTCTAATTCTGAGCTCTCGTCGTCTCTCGCGCCCCTCCCTGATCCGAGTTATATACATTTTCGGGGCTCAAACGTTTCTTTCTCTTTTCTATTGTCGACATTGTAGCCAGTTTTCTTTTTCGTATACGACTCGACTGAAAACCATTCCGCGCATAATCGCCCACAAAATGCAGCAATCCGGAAAATTGATTTCTCAAATTGTTTAAGAAAAGAGTTACAAATGTGATTTATATAAAATTGCTGTCGCCATGTTACTTTTATAAACGTAATTTCAGACGTGTAAAAATCTCTTCGAATAATCGAAAACATTTGCGATATTCTGTCAGCGATCATCGATGCTCAACTCACGGCTTCCTCGCATCGAGTATTTAATATTTTTTCCTCCGTTTTCTGTTATTCTTATTATATCTCAGCTCTTCCGATCGCCTTTTTACTTACGATAGACTAACCTAGGAATTTGTTCTAAGAATAATGCTAATTCTGGTTCGCCGGACGTTTCTCTACAATTCGATGATTCTAATTACTAGAAATATTTTCTCTTAATGGCGCCCGAAGCCATCTCTCGATTTTCCCAATGAATGTCACGAGAATTTTAACTGTTTCTTTGAAGAGAAAAGAGAGATACCTTAATATTCGACTAAGATGTTTATTGACTTGATTTTTTTTTCGTCGAGGTTCTCAACATCGTTGCGAGAAAGGGAACGGCGCTCATATCGATCCAGCGTATGAGCGCGTTCGCTCAAATTTACAACATTCAAAAGTAAAAATGCTCGATTACATATTGACATTAAATTGACGCTTCGTACAAAACGTGTCTAACAATCTAACGTTTCAACAAAAGTGACGAGTACGTCGAGTGATGCCCAATCGATTGTACCTCAGCAACGTAAGAAAGTAGCGAAATCGAGGAAAGCAGATATGTCGAATATTATTTAGCTATTAGATATCAAATAAATCGCGACTCGAGAGAATCGGGATCTCTTCTTGCAAGAAGTAAGAAAAAAAAAAAAAGAAAACGAGGAGCCTCGCGCAAACGATTTCACAACATACCGCGTTCTGTGCTTACTTTATTTAAATAACAAGATTAATTTATTTCCAGGATCTCTCGCTCGAAAGTTTCTCCAGCGAAACGCGCCGCAAGGAATAACTTTAACAGCTCACTACCTTAATCCTGACGACGGGGAGCCCCATCAATCCACAACCAGGCTCATGTCTTGCGACTTGGCTTCCGTGTATCCGGTGTACTGGGCGAGCGCTCTCTCCCTCTGCAGGTCCAGATGATTCTTCATGGCGACGACTGTGGGATGATGAAGCGGGAGGCCCTCGTCCTCGACGAGATATCGGAGCGCCTCGGTGGCGCAGGCGTCCCATCCGGCCGTCCAGGAGCCGGGATCCTGCTCCTGCTGGCCGCCGAAGGACCTTCCCGCCTGCGTGTCTCCCGGATCGTCTGTCCACAGACGACGATCCAGGCTCAAGGAGTCGAAGGATCGGCTACGCGGCTCCTGATGATCCTGGCGGAAGTTGCCGAAGCTTGTGAACTTGGTGAAGCTCGCGCTCCGCTCGTCAAGATCGTCGAGGAAGTCGAGATCGTCGCGATGAAAATTATTCTTATGAACTGATGTTTTCGGATGGTCCACTTGGTCCTGAAGGCAACAGCGGCCGAGTAAATTCGTGTTATCCTGCAGCATTTCCACACTGTGCACCGAGCTCTGATCCTGGTGCGCCGCTCTGCTGCTGGAGAACGAAGATTGTTTCTGGGAATATTTGAGCTCCTGCGCCAGCGAGGCGGCGAGCTGATGGAGCAACTTGGCGTTCTCCGTTTCCTCCTCGTCGTCCTCGTCGATGTCCACCTCGACGCCCTCGTCCTCCGACGACGACAGGAAGTCCTCGTCGTTGTCCTCGTCCATGCCTAACAAGGTCAGCAGTCGCTCGGCTGCATCTGCGCAGATTTTAAACAGCCTGGATTATCTGTTAATGCGAGGAGATCGATCGTCTCGCTTTCACACATCGTTAGCACACAAGATAAGTAAGTATCCTTCGAAAAATGGATAACTTTCGTTATAAAATACTGAAAAATTAAATTTGCTCTCTACTGAGAAATAATGCGATAAAGAAAAAACAAGAGGAACAGAAAGCAAAAATTGATTCGCCAAGAGATTTACTTCACCGTAAGCCTTGTTGAACCGCCGGATGCCGCTGTTGAGATTCTCCCGAAAAGGACGAGATCTCCCACAGATGCGCGTGACGCGCGATAAAGGAACGGCGGAATCTCGCGTTGAATCAAACACGACAATGACTGGGAAGAAAGAGAGAGAGAGAGAGAGAGTGCATTATTGTAACAACCGGACCGCGATTCGACGAGTAGTCCGCCGCGGCGGCCCGGTTTTGCGGTCCTGTGGGAATCCTGCCTCATAAACGTCCCACGGGAACTACCTGTCGCCCGAAACCCACACCCCGTCATATCCGTCCTGCGAATCACCGAATTTCGCACGAGTCTCTCCTCTTTCTCATCTCCCTCGTCTCTGTGTGGTGTAACACAGTGTGATGCGACGCATCGGTGTCGTGCGTGTATACGCGTAGCGCAGTTCACACACTACCACGATAGCGGAAAGGTCGTCCGGCGAGGGTAACTTCGAGATACCTGTTCCTGGGAACGGGAGCGATTTCGATCGGAGGGCGGCGATCGATTAAATCGTACCGTTTCAGGTACAAGACTGGAATATAAAAACCGATACGAGAGACTGCACGATTAACGTTATAATTATAGACATCCGATTATATATAGATCAAGAAAACACATTTTAAGAATGTTAACGTTAGCCAAATTTTAAAATAGAATACAATATGATCGATTTAAACAAATGTATAAATGCCAAATTAAAAATACATTTAAAACACATTAGACACATTTTATACAAACAATACTGCAACTTCTTTTTGCTTGATAAATTTAACTTATACACACTGATTGCTTTATTTAAAAGAATAATTTAAATTAACACTTTCACGCGAATTAATCTTTTAACGCAGAGATCAAAAGAGGTCAAGAGATATATTTATTTTGACAAATTATGTCTAGTGTTCACACTATTCCTACATTTTTCTTCATCACGAATGTATTCGATCAACGTTTTTCAAACAGACAGGCGTATGTTACGTCGCGTTGTACTCGTTCTTTTTTCTTGACGATAATAGAAAAGTCTGGACCAGTCGCGAGAGCGAGTTTGTTGATTCTTCTTTTTTTTCGGTTATCTCCCTTTCTCTCTCTCCCTCTTCAGAAGACGTCAATGCGACTCTCTTTGCCGGACGTTCCCACAGGGAGCATACCCGTATTTAAATGTCCTGTTTCTATAGTCTGCAGGACGTAGCGAGATTGGATTGGATTGGGTTAGGCTAAGCGACAATTTAAAGGCACTGAAAGGCGCCTAACGAACAAACTGTTTGTTTCTACAAAAAAAAAATATAAATGATTGAATAATATGCATTAATGATTAAAGCAACTTATCGAATATGTAAGGAATACATATTCTATTTCATTAAAAATTATATCCTATTATTTATGTACAATGTAATTATCTTAAAGTAGCAGAATTATTTGCGCTTTTTACGCGAATAAAAAAAATGTGACTTGCAACAACGCGACTATAAAATGATTATTTGCCTTTATGTCATTGTCGCTTATAGACTAAACGCGGATCGAGTTTTATCGCGGCGATCGATCATCGTCATCGCGACGACCGTAAATTTGTTTACGACTCGCGTTATGATTTATATTGTTCAACGATAGCGCCTGAAATTGCTCCACGGGAGAGCCATAATTCTCGTCGGTGAATAGAAATTCTTGTAGCTGTACGTATACAGAAAGCCGACATTAGCATACAGAATTCATATTTCAGGAGAAGATCGGCCGAATGACTGTATAAGCGACGACGTGAAGTTATTCTCCCGCAATACTACCGAGCAGCGCCCGACTTGTATTGCGTGATTAATGACGTCAACCTAATAAATTTTAATGGCTCGCTCGCGCAAACCGCTTTGCGATTAAATATACAAGTACAAAGTTGCGCGGTTGTGCTATTACGAACGATGTCTACGTCATTTGCGCCTTATTATAAGTTTTAATCGAAACGACTCGAAGATTGCGCTCGCATTGCACTTTCTGGCGAATCATTTTATCGCCGTAAAGATCTTTCAACTCACCAAGCTAATTGGACGAATTTCGTATTGAATGGAAGCAAGTTTTTCATACGAAGAAAATGAGAAATAATGTTTGAAAAGATTTTTTGAAAAGATTATTGCGAAATTTATATTTTATTATTTATAAAAGAATATATTATTGTACTCCAAATATTTTGTATAAAAATTAATTTCATCAATATTCGCACTATTGTTCAGACTTTTCCAGTAATTTTTCCAGAAACAGTTTCATATGTCACAACGACAATACTGGTGTTTTAACTAATAAACAAAAATAAAACCGGATATTCTCACACTCGGAAAAGCCACTAAGGGAAAGCAACGAGATCCAACATTATTCTAGGAAACACCGGTTTTTCCAACGTTTTTCAAATGCAGGGCGTGAGCAAAGATTTTCTGGGATGCAAAAAAAGCAGATACGCTCTTACGCAACATCGTAAAATGTTTCCACTTCACTTCCACACTTTAAAAGAAATTCAAATTTGTCATATTCACTCGTGTAAACTCGATTTGTTCCGTACAGAAGAAGAATAGAATTTTATACAAATACAAAGCGAAAGAACTGCGCGAAGATAGCAAAAAGATACATGCATTTTATTATGTAATCGAAAACGACATAATTAAAAATGTGCAAGCATAATTATCGTGTTCTTTTAAAATTTGCATTTTATGCATCACCTATTGACATCTATAATGTAATACACATCAACATTCGTCCAAACCAACGAAGAAATAAAAACACGAGTATAACAGAAATTCTCAATTCTAAAAACAATTATGAATTTTAATGTGTTAAACCGACATTTACATACACAATGTTGTTAGAGTTCTATCACATTGGCTAGGTACGGCTATTTTTATTATTCATTCACACAGATAAAAATATGTTAAATGAATTACCTCGTATGGTCGGCGAGCTGTCCGTTATATCGGTGGCCAAGTCGACGAAATCCTCCAATCCTCCGCCATCACCTCCGCAATCCATCATTGTGTCCTGTACAAAAGAATATAAGAGAAAAAGAAAAAGCTATTCCGTAAACTTATATAATCCATAAATCACAAAAGTCAAGCTCAAAACGGGGCAAATTAAATGAATAAAATTTATCTTGACGCATTTTACGATTATTTCGAATGACGAAACTACAATGATGACTGAACAAATTCGGTCGCAATCATATTACCTAGAAATTAACGATGAAAAGAAAATATGCGCGTAAACTGCGCCACTGGTCATAAAGATGTGCTTATTTGCAGTTAAGTGGCTCGCAACATTTGCAATTAAATCGCAGGCCCGCGGAATTTTAATTAAAGTCCGCGCAAACAATGTTTGCGCAAAATATCGCCATAAAATGTTATAGCTTAAAATAAATGTAATCGCTATGAAGTATGATGTGCAGTATAAATTAATCGTAATCACAGCGGGCCAGAATTTTGTTTAAAAAACTTCGCAAGGGCTCCGTAAAATTGAAGCAACCGTCAATTTCGAACGAAACTTCCGACATGCCGTTAAGCAACGTGAATTATTGCAAGATGATAACTGCGGAGTTATCAATGCCGTCATTTATATAACTTGCGCACGATGCTGCACGCTTTAGCGGCCCAGACTGCTCTCCAAGCCGCCAATTTGCCGTGGAAATTAGTAATTTGCGAGGAAGCAATGTTAGCGACAATTTGCTCGATCGAGAAAGACTTTCCCCGAAATAATTATCGTGCCGATAATGCGATCGCCTTTAGGGATCGCAACGATTTCTCCCGTTACGATGACGAGCCCTTCGATATCAAAGTGAGTTGCAAATTGCAGTGTTGACGCAAAAAGGATCAGAATAAACCATCATTATTTTTATTCTATTTTTATATACTTTCTCAATTTATTTCTTATATTGTCCAAAATATTTATGACAGTTTTTGTTACGCCTTCAATTGTTACACTCAATGTAGTTGCGTTTGTTTAAAAAATTGAACACGGTATCAATGAAACTCTGCCTCGGTTGTATATCTTGTAATCCCATAATATATTTCCAACAATAGATTAATAGCAAGAAATGTTAAAATTTTCATTCACATTTTGCACACAACGGGTACACATAATAGAAAGAATAGAATCCTTTTGTACAATTATTGCGACGACAGTTACCATATTTTGCTACCAACAGGCCGACTAAAGGCCCAACTTTTTTCAAATGTCCTTGAATCTTTATAAAATTTCGAAAACTAACTTTTCCAAAAATTCGCACGGGAGGTATATTGTACTCGCACAGCTTGTAATCTAGTGGCAATAAATGAAAGGATAAAGACTAACTCTTGCAAACGAGCAGTGCGTGTGGCAAATATATTTTATGTAGACACGTCTGTTGTCCGTTTAGTACCCTAAAATACGACAAATCGGTTTACGATACTATTCTTACAAAAATATCAAGGACACTCGAAGAAAAGAGTAAAACTCAAGGAAGTTTTATTGATGGGCAGCAGAGAGAAAGAACTTCGCCACGCGCAAACGTCGCCGCGTGGACACCAATTCCCTTGGACGGGTGAAAGCGAGAACGCAGAGAAAGTTCGTGAATGGGTTAAAATGATCACGCCGCCGGTTACGATGGGAAGAACACGATTAAGAGCGGAAATTACATCGAAATAAAAAGGGAAAAAGGAAACATCAATGGATATTAACGGGAATCAGTAGCGGAGAGATGGGTCGAATAATTTCTACGTAAATAGCGGCGATAATGATCTAACAAAGTAGTAATTTGCGGGGCGATGAAGCAAAGTATATTGAGGCATAATAATGCGGTTAATTTTCATAAATTATTAATATTCCCGATGTAGTAAGTGCCGCCATGCTGCGGACTCGACGATATTTTGCGATAATAGGATCAAATAATAGCCTCAGCTTGTAACAACGTAGTTAACGAATAAACTATCAGCTCGTATAAATTAATATTCATTTACGCGTGATTTCATGCCCAGCCATTCTGACGGCGATTAAGATCGGAAGCGATACTAAAAATACTGCGGAGCGCGACGCGTCCCAACTTTATCTCGCTTGTCGCGCGCTGATTATCGCCATTACAGAAAATAGCCCGCACGATGAGAATTATGACGATAGCCGGAATCGATACGTTCGCAGCTTCTCGCTGTTAATTGCGTCGGTATGGAAATATATGGAAAGATAACAAGCTCGGAGCGCATTTAAACGCGCGGCTGATCCTTGTCTTTTTTTCAAATTAGGAGTGAGCCGGAACGCAATGTAATCAATATATGCAAACGAGAAGGTTACTGTAAATTCCTGCCGTTTAGGACTCGCTTCTGTTCGTCGAGAAAACAGAGAGATCACCGGAATCCGCGTTCAAAGACTGACATGTGAAAAATACAAAATCTGATAATATCTTGCTCGTTTGATACTTTTCTTTATTTAAGCTTCTTCCGTCGTTGGCGCCAGAAACGCGTGTAAATTCGGATTCACACTCGTTTCGCATAATCAAGGCGGCCGAAATCGCGAAGTAATCGATACACGAACGAGCGAAAATAGATCTCGGCACTGTATTCTCAGCGGCTCCGAATCTTCGCCTCGGAAAGGTGAATGGACCGATCCGACTGTAAGGTGCAGTTGTGATGCAAGCCGACTGCTATCGATTCCGAAGAAAATCAGCATTCGAATGTATGCAAATTGTTCTCCGGCGATTCAAAATAAAATTTATATTATTTCTGACTGGACTGGCTGTGTCAGCGTCGCGGCGAGAAGCAAAAGCGTGTTTAAATTAGACTGCAAATCATACATGCAAACGAGTGTACACGAGAACGCACGACAATGAACATCCCTTCGTGACGGCTGCAATAGTAGTCGGCCATCAATCACGAGCAAAATGCGAGTATTTAGTTAATGAATCGCATATACGCTGCGTTATCTCCAGTTAATCGTAAAATAATCGGCGACTACAATCATTCGTTCCGATGACACTGCATCGAAAAATATTCGAGACGCACAATCAAAAAGTACAATAAATACAAAAATGTTTGTTAACTTTACGACAATAATTTAATGATCAAATTAAAACCATGCATCCACTTAAATAATTTAACATTTTACAATTTTATATTTTTTAGCTCGCAAAATTTTTTAATATTAATTTGTTGCATATTCGATTTCCATCTTTCGCAAATTTTTAATTTTTCATTATTGAAATTTAATTTAATTTTGCATTTTTAATCTTTGATGAAAAATATTGAAAGTAAGCCATCCGCAGCGATGCAAATCGCGAATGGGATAATCGATCAATGCCGTTCCAGGTGTCGACAGATTTTTCATTCGGATGAAATAATAACCGGAGACGCGGTTCAATTAAGCAAATTGATAAATGCAAATGCAATTGCCGATCTCGTTCTTCCGAGCAAACGCGATTTCTATCTTCATCCGAATCGTCTCTCTAAAGTGGCATGCGAGTCGGCCGGCGAAACAGCATTCGCAACTTATCTTTCTTTTGCTGAAAATTTGCTGAACCAACTGTCTCACGCGGTTTGCCGATTCGCCTAATTAATTCTCACCGCAAAACAATAATCGCGACACGCGACAGGAATGAAGAGGCGCAAACGAACTCGTGATACGATTCACTTGTCGGCGCAGATAAGCCGAGCGATCAGAAACGCGTGTCCAGCGTGTCTGCAAAAATCTGTAACAAGCTCCACATCGGATTGCTAAAAGATCCCTCGACGATACGAAAATCCTAGCGTTAAATCTTTGACGCGAAAGTTAAATCTTTGAAGAAAGAGAAAAACGGGACTAATTAAACCTCGCTAAGTCGGTTGAAGATTAGAAATCGGCTTGGAAGCGCGGCGTAGAAGTCGACAAGAGCGATGGATCTTTCAGAGATGATCTCGATAAATTTCGCATGCAAAATCGTATCTTCGCGAAATGACAAGAAGAATCCTCTTCTTCTCTCTCTATCGAGATGCAGAGATATAAATAGAACGAAGGCGGAATATATTACATGAAAGCACATAAGTGCGACATATAGCGAGAGGGGGGGGGAGGGACATGTTTGACCGCTTCGGTGCAGTCATCTCGTCGCTTACCAGCCGATGTAAGGGCGTACAATACCGCAGACGCGATACCGCCGCTATTCCAAATTCAAACAACGCCGCGAGTTGAAGTTGGGTGGTCCCGGGGGGGTGCGCGAGAAGCTTCGAGGGAAAACTCGACAGAACGTCGTGTATCTTTAGATTTAAGCGACGATGAGAGTGAGCCGTTTATTTTCTAAAGGACACACGAGCTGTGTTCTCGTACGCGAGTTAAGTTGATCCTTCAAAATTTATGGCGAGTATTACGATTTAAAGTATCCCATACATTTTATTTATTGCATTACACAAATCTTAAACAAAGAGAGAATTTTTTATTTACCTTGCCATTTGTTGAAAACAAGTTTCGAATGAATAGCAATTTATTTTCCCATTTTAGTTTTAAAGAAAACTGAGAAGAAAAGTACAGATTTGATTCAAACGAGATTCGACGAGAGCGAACCACCGCCGCGCGAGAGAAAGAGAAATCGAAGCGAAGAACTTCGAAGATGATCAAAGTTTTAAAGGATTGTTGGAGCAAATTCGAGTCTTATTCCACTCGTGCAATAAATACAAATGTTGAAACTGCAAAGAAACCGGGAGCGACTCTCACATTTTATACGAGATTACATTTCTCAAAGGATATTTCTTTTCCTCCAAGTTCCGAAGGAGCACGAACATCGGGAATGCAGTTAACTGCAGAAAAGGGCGCATCCCCCGTGCAATGGGATTCAATTTGAAATTCTAATTCACCCCGGCGTCATCCCGATAGAATTTTAAGCGAGAAAACTCGTGGCGATGACTCGCGGCGCGAGAAGATCGAAGTCGAGAGATAAATAAGTAAGTAGACGCCGCGAGCGAGAAAAGAGCTTAGAACCGAAAGCGGATCTGAGATTCGTAAACAGGAAATTGCAGTTGTCCGGATTGTATCGGGGCGATAATAAAACACGATAATAAAAGAGCGCAAAAGCCGAAGCGAAAGAAAACATTGCAATAAAGATAGCGATTTTCGCGAGCAGAGATCGATATAATTTCATAGTGTCGGGTGAAAAGCGGGTAATAACGGCCGGGGGGCACGTAAATCGATGCGCCCCTTTTGCCGTTAATAACACACACTCACACACACACACACACACACACTCCGGAGGTCGGAAAACGGCCGAGCCGAGCGGGTGGGAAAAGCGGGAAGAAAAAGGTGCCTCTGTAATCCTCCTCGCGTCGCATAAATCGCGTATATCGCGCGGATAGAATCAGAATTATTCGCGTAGCTAGCGGACGAGAGCGCTCCTCGCTTTAATGGAGATTTAAATCACCGAACGGGGTTTACGCGTTTGTCGCGCCGTCTCCATATAGAGCCTGAGTGTCGCTCTAATTATAGATAGACGGGAAAAACGAGGAACGACGCGATTGTCCGAATCCATCGATCCCCGCGCGCAGTATGTCGCGCGAGAAAAGAAGAAATTCACGTTTCGCAGTCGCGCGGAAAACGAACGAGCATGCCGCGCGGCCGGGAACGAATAAAAAACCGATTCGCCTGTTCGCAATCGATTTCAAGCAGGTGCACTTTGGCAGCCGAACGCGTCGTCTCCACAGCCTCGCGATGCATTCGACGATGCGATCATAAATACAGATGATTATCGGACGGCAAATTGGAATTTTTCCGAGAATATCCGGCGGAGGGTAGAAAAAAAGTTATTACAAATTCTATGAGTGTTAAATTGACGGTTAAAAATTCAGCAACATGGAAAGGCGATGATATAAATTTCGAAATGTTACAAAGCTGATGTAAAAGTGCTATGAGCGTGTTATCAGAATAAATATAAAACGATTCGTGTTAATGTTGTCAATTATTCGGCATCATTAAATTAATGATACAGAATGATAGCGGAATATAGTAATAGAATAGTAATTATAGAGTAGAAGTGTTACGACATTTTTTTATTTGCCCGCTAAGTTTCTTGCGATCACCATTAACAATTTATAACGCTGCTACTATCATTACTGCTTGATATTAATAATAAGACCTTAATGACAAGTTGCCGGATCAATTTAAATTTCAAATGAACCAGAAAATATACGCCTATAAATTTTAATATCTCAACTATTTATATTCTGTATAGAAGAACATGTACATTACAAAATATTGTTTTAACAATTTCTTGGCCAATTTGGAAGTAATTTCTTCTCAAGAAGAATATCGACCTAGATTATTAACGATACCTTCTCAATTTAGACCGTCTTCACGAATAAGTTGCGAAACAAAATTTTATTAAGAGGTTCTTAAAATTTATTTTTAATTATTATTAATTGGAAAACTTTTCTCAACATATTTTCATTGTGAAACTCAATTCCAAATCGATCAGAAAGAATTGATAATGCAAGAAAATCTCGGCAAAATTCTCGGTTCATTGCGAACAGCGTCGACTTTCCGGTGCAATTTAAATGTGCTGCGGCATCACCTCGCCCCGGGAGCTTTAAAGCGTTAAAGCGACGTGAAACGTTTGTTCTCGGCACGCGGAAACATGCAACACATTTACCCGAAAGACCACGGATGACGCAAGTGAGAAAACGCGAGCTTGCAGAGAGGATTTATATCGGCTGTTACGTACCTCCGATACGGCGTCCTCCATCATATCGCTCGTGTCCCTCATGACTCCCGATGGAAACTAGCACCGACAACAATCACTCAACGCCCACGATACGTTCTCCACCTCTCCTGCGTGATTCTCTTCTTCTGTCTCTCTCGTTCTCTCTCTCTCTCTCTCTCTCTCTCTCTCTCTCGTTCTCTCTTTCTTCCTGTATATCTTTTTATCGGTTCTCTTTCACCGCGTTTCTCCTCGCTCCGTTTCCGCGTCCAACGTGTACCGCGATACGCTCCTT